AACAGAGGGTAGATTGAAATATGCAGAAATGATGTGTAGCAGCCCTCCTATGGGTCACTGATCAAAAGGGAGACCTTATCCCAGTTTTTTTTAAAATACCACAACAGAAAGAAAGAGGCCTACTCTTTCTCACAGGGTGATTGTTTTTGTCATTCTCCTGAGCTTTGTTGGATATTTTTCCATATTTTGACATCTTTTTCACCTTCACATTCAAAAAGGTAAAAAATTCCAGAGGGATAGCCATGTGTAAGTTTTGCAGTGAAAACAGCAAAGAGCACAGTGGCCATGGTTCCCCCTGACCCTGAAATATCCAGGTTACTTCAGTCAGGTTTTATGTTCATCATTGTTTGCTTCCTGTTGAATACAACCTTTTTTCTAGAATTATGCTCTTGGGCTCCTTTATTCTTCTATCCCTCTGATCAAAGAGAGGCTTCTAAAATCCAGGCTTCTGTCTTCTTGACAGAGTTAGAAACAAGGATGCTTCTGAAGCAAAGTGCTAATTACTGTTGAGGGTTTCATTCTCAGGATACTAGCTTTCTTGAGGGGACAGTTGCTTCTCTCTAGTAATCTTTCAAATGCTGTCATTGATGTTTACAGTTTTAAAGATTGCTGAAGGCTAGCAACTGAAAGGAACTGCACAAGTTTGTGTTTAGGCAGTGGACTTCTCCCTCCTTGCATGTCTTGAGAAAGGATTGCTAGCAGCAATCTTCTTTTTGTCCTTTGTGAAACTGGACTATAGGGGAAGGAACCCGGCTCATGGGTGTGGCTTCTGTGTAGCTCCAAGGGGCAGAGCAAGGTTCAGAAGACCAAAGTGACCCCTCAAAGGCATTTGAAGTCTTTTGCTTGACAGCTGAAGAAGCACTTCTGAGTTTGGGTTTCCAGTCTCAAGCAACTTCTAGTTCCGCAGATGATCACAGGTGAGGAGATGCTTGGTTCAAATATAGTGGCAGGACAGGATGCAGACTTAGGATGTCCAGAGAAAATGAGGGCAAGGCTCCTGCCCCTTTCATGAGGAGAGGAAGGGAAGGCAAGCAACTCCTCTACTTGATATTGAGGCTGTTTAATGACTTCTGAAGTCATCTAACTGCAAAATTCTTGCAAAGACCTGCAGAAATCTTAAACCACTTGTTTACCCCTCACTCCCATCCAGCCAGGGGGTACTGGCATAGTGGAATCCTATGTATGACTGCTAAGCATTGAATGTCATTGATGCAAGTGCAATGTAGTAACTGGGTTCGCATAATTGTGTTAGTGGGCAGGAGCAAGCCTGTTGGCAGGGAGAGAAGGTATGTTCCGCTGGTCCTCTCCTTGAGGAGGCCCGGGAGAATGTGACTGATCACCACTACTGCCAGTGAAGGTAGAGAGAGGATGCTGAGCAAACTTTTTTCTGCTGGGATCAGCAGTAGGGTGGTTCTGGCAGCTACCTCCAAAGACCATTTATGCACTTTTGGGAAGCTGTCATTCCCACTTTGTTCCTTTTGGGAGCACTGTGGGAGGAACAAGGTGTCTTAGGACCCCTACTGGACTCAGTCATCTTTCAGGCATAGAATGAACCCTTGTGTGAACAAGCTGCAATGTGTAGCTTCTGCACATGTTGCTTGGTGTGTCATCCAAAGCTTCCCATTGCCTGGTATTAACATTTCTGGCTGCTTAATCCTGTTCTTTCCTACTCAGGAGTAAGTCCTAATTCATACACTGGGAATTACTCCCAAGTAAGTGTATATATGAATGCAGCCTTAACCACTTTTGAATTCTGAATGTTCACATTAAATTATGAATATATACTTCATATAGATTCTTGTAATGTTTTTTTGAGATGCCCAAGTGGGCATTATATATGCAAATATGAGAGGTCCCCCTCCCAAATCCTTTGTGGCCTTGGGTTAGAAACACCACCATGAAACTCACCGGGTGACTTTGAGTCTGCTTCTCAGGTTAATCTACAGAGCCTGTGTTAATCTCATGTTAATGTCATGTTGTGAGGATAACGTGTGAAGGACCCTGTAAGAAGAGGGGGCAAAAAAATCTAAGGCTGTAATCCTATACATATTTTCCTAAGGTTAAACCTGACATCATAAATCTGCATTTAAGTAAACGTGTGTAGAATTACAGTATTGCTAAAACTGATACAAACTTCCCTGTAGCACTTTTAGAACATTTCTTCTTCCTTGTGCCCTTAACTTACAGCATAGATACCTCCAGGGTATAGAGCAAGAGTGAAGCAAAGAGTCATCATCAATAAGCCTCATGCAACTTTAACCCAGGAAGGCCAGTTGGGGGTTCTTGTAAAACAAAGCCTAGATACAGATTTTCATGTAACTGGCGGCATCTGTGTGCATTCAGGTGCTGAGTTTGATCTGCAAAGGTGCCTGGGGGCTAAAATCCATGCTGCGTCAAATACAAGCATATTGTTACTGGGGATGTGCAAGTTTGAAGTTGCAAATCCATCAGCTTCTCTTGGCTTGGCTGCCTGGGTTCTGCCCTGCTTTCTCTCTGCTTGGCTTCCCATGCACAGTCAGGGGCATCTGGCAGGAAGCCAGCCAGAACTGCACATAACAGGTGCCCACATAGCGCATGTGCAGGCTTGTGCAGATGTCACGTGCTGCTGTGCAAGGACTCTGGTGGTCATGTACATACAATTTCAATGTACCTGATTGAAATTCAGGGCCGGCTCCAAGCACTTAGTTCTACTTTCAAAGGGTCTTTTACTCGCAAGAAGAAGCATTGGGCTTTTATTTACATATCCATTTGCTGGCTGGCAACCTGAGCCTGCACTTTCTGGGGTTTCTGGTGGGGCTATATAACAGTTCAGCCCCCTCCTCTGGCTTGTTTTTGCCAGTCAAACAGCTGCACTAAAATTATCAGTTTCTCAATTGTTTCTTTTGGACCACAGTCACTTTTTGACTAAAGAAGATCTGTTCATCCCTACTCTCAATAAATTCAAAGCAAACCAAGATAGTCTTTTCTGTGGATAATGGATGCACCATTCTATAATTCTTGATCTGTGTGGTCCCCACATTTCTGTTGCTTCACTCATTGATACTGGGAGGCCCCTTCTGACTCGCTCTGTTTCTGTTTCTACGATACAGGTTTTTTGTTCACAAAAGAGTTGGGCAGAATAGAGTCTGCATGTTTAATCTGGTATCTCTGATTCTACACAGTTTGAAGACTTGTTTTTGTTTGTTTTGATGAAAGCTGGGAAACTAGGTAATGATGCCAACCGTCATGGGGTGGCATGGCTGGAATTTTGGGAAAATGAAGCTGATAAGAATTGTGAAATGGCTCGTTGGGTTGGAGGCATGGTGTTTAACCTGTTCTGGACAGAGTTTCACTTTCCCTAAAGAATTAAGCCCACAGCATATGGGTGCTGTTGGATTGGCTCTTACTTTGGATACTCAGCTGGCATCTGTGGTATAAAATACTTATGCTAGCTTCAGCCTCAACTGCAACCCCTCTGGGCAAAGCTGCTCTTGCCACTCTTAACCAGATGATATCCTTGCTTAGCTGTGTCGTGTGTCGGGATTTCCTTGTAAACAGTTTGAAAACTTCTAATGTGGAGCTGGTAACTGCATTATTTAACTGGGACTGGCTGCACAGAATGTACCTTGTGAGTAGTAAAAGATCTTTACTGTCTTCCAGTTTGTTTCCAGTTAACATCTTAAGCTCTAGTTTTAAATCCATGTGCCTATTCCTTGAAAACCTGTACGAAACTCCTCACCCCCTGCAGGTCCTGCTACCACCTGTAGAAAAGTGAGGTAAGTGAAGATCAGTGGCAGAGACTTGTTAATGGTAGCCTGTCCTGGGATTCTCTGTGTCACTTCTGTGGTCTTTTCACAGCAGGTAAAGACATTTTCTTGTATCAGGCTAATGCTATTATTGTCCCTGTCTGTCTGTCTGTCTGTCTGTCTGTCTATCTATCTGATTTCTGGACCACTTTTCTGAAACCAACCAAATGGTTTGTCTTTCAACAGTATTTGAGAACAAGAAAACACAATTGATCAGAAGACATTTCAAGCACTTAAAAAATAATAACAACCCTAGATGCGTAACAATTTTAAAAGCCCAGTTAAAACCCTGACTCTTACAAATTTTATGAGAGCGGCAAAAGATTTTTATGATGGTTTTGTTGATGTCTTTATCAGCCTTTTGAAATTCTTCATAGATCTTGACTGGTTAATCGTTTCACAGGGCAGTATCTAAAGCTGCCCTTGTGACAATGGGACACACTGATAACCCTGAGAAGCTGGTGATTCTGCAACCAGCTGGAAATGAGTCTAGCTCTTGTTTCCATAATGTGGCAGGTCACTGGCGCCCTCAGAAGGAAGCTTCTCTGAGTAGACCCATTGCAGAAATAAGTGTTCCTGTTCTTTGCAGGCCCACATTTAGGAAGCACCAGAACAATGGAATGAGCAGAGTGCAACTACCATACTGGATGCTACCTGATGCTATTTTGTAGTCACTTTGGAAACTTTGGCTGAAAAGTGTCCTAGAAGTCTTCCAAAATTATTTGGTGTTGATAAATGACACAGTGCTTTGTCCATTTGTTACAGGGATGTGGAGAGCACACTGTTCTGTGAAAGAGTTTCACTCTTTTACCTTGTTTATCTAACAGCTTTTGTAGGGGTAGCAATTTATTTATATTTACTAAACAAGGAGGATCCTCAGCTCTCTGCAGTTCCCATCTTGAGAACTCAGATGAGGATTTATTTTCATAAATAAGCTCTGCCAGCAAGATCATGGTGGTATGAATTATTGGAATATGTTTGATAGAAATATGAATGCAGAAGACCTTAATGATAAAAATTTGTAGAAGCATAAACTAAGGGAAAAATGGAGATGACTTGAATAAATATGTTTAAGTCCAATTTTAATTTGAGCATTTTAACTCAGAAATACATTGTGTCCTCTTTTTATGCAGGCTTTTGTGTAGGTCATTTATTTCTCTGTCTTAAGCTGTACCACAAAGCAAAACAGCAAGGGGCCATTTGAAACTTTACACAATGAAAGAAGCTTCCAGCCCTGGTAAGATGCAATCTCTTTGACTGTTGATTTATATTTGGATACATTTTTGTAGGAATGCTTATTATGATACCCACAGGAAAAATAATGGAAGCTTTTAAGGATTTGGATTGATGGCCATGAAATTGCATTTAGTAGCTGTAACTGGCTGTTAGTCCATGTAAAGGTTATTTTCCTAAATACATACTAATGTATTCAGTTTCTGCTTAATTTTGCACCTTAGTGGCTAGCAATATTTTTAAAATCAGGACTGGTCTACTATTTATCTGCTCTGCCATGGAACAGCATGCTTTTTTGGTTTTGAAAATTTATGTGAGTAGTATGATCATCTGCAGGTCCTAATGAACTATGGACAGCACTTTCCAAGCTCCCCTGCCTGAATCCCAGGTACCCAGGAAACTGGTGTCTCTCCATTATGTAATTTCATAATGTAAGAGACCTATTGGACAGGGGAATTTCCTGTTCCTGCCATGGCCTATCATGGAACTGAGCAAAGCCAGGAATTTGTGGAATGCTGACTTTTCCGTGGCCAGCACCAAGTTGATTGATGCCTGCTACCCAGTTGCTGCTGCTTGGCTCTTGATCCACATCGATTGCTCCTCCCATGAACAGGAGCAGCTGAACAAGCCACAGTTCTCCCATCCATGGTTTGTTTATTGTACTGTCTGAACTGAGGATTCTGGCTTGTCTCTCCCCAAACAAGCCACAGTCATAAGCCATTCATGGCTTGTTTGTGAACTCATAAAGGAAATCTGGCTAATTTATAAGTGAATGAGGGCAACATGATCTCTTTATCATCCCTTGTGCAGAGGTTGTCTCCTGAAGTCCACTGTGAGAGCTCAATTCAATCTTCTATTATCCTATTAGCAAACTAAGAATACTTGAGTGTTAAATACCTATAAGCTTTACAGCATCCCATGGCACTTCCTGGTTTTGAAAGGAAAGCATTTGATTTTGTTTGTAGATCTGTAGGTATGAGAAGAGACATGTGAAAGTAAGTGCTCTGAAAAATAATCAAGTATCTTTTCAAAGGAAACACTTTTGTGAATGGAGATTCAACTTTGTATTCTTTACTCTGTAGATCTTCCTCAATGAGTAGTTGTGCTTGCATTTTGGTTCCATGCATGTGTGTGTGTCTGTTATCAAAATTTTATTATGCTAATTTAGCCAACTTCCCCATCAACAGAGCTTCCAAGGAATGGCTGTGACAACCCTGCTTTCCAGCTGAATGAAGCAGAGCTACATAATGGCTATTTTAAAAAGAACCAGAAAAAGTAAGTTCATCTCTAGCCTTCAGTGTCTTTTATTTGCTTCTACTTGCTTTAGTTGACTTGCTTTTCTGCTTAAATCTTTTTTAGAAATCAAAATGAGAAGTCAAAGGAAAAGATCAAGATGGTTGGAATTTTTGAGCTGGTGGGTGTATAACTGGCTGATCTGCCTTCTGTCTGATGTTTTGGGAGGTTGGGAAAGGAGCTGGATGTTACCTTCCCTATATCTATGGATTTGGCAAAATCAAGAGCAGGCTTCAAGCTCCTTTCTGATCACATCACAGCAAATAGGAGATACTGAATTAAACAATTTCTCCCAGGGCTTTTGATGAAATTGGCACTCAAATGTCTTTCTCTAATATTTTCAAAATTCAGGGCAAGATAGATCATATTCAGATAATCACCGGGTCTGCTTTTTTCTTGTTTTCCCATTTAACACACTCTGAAGGGAACAGGAAGATGGTGATGAAGTAGTTTGTGAGACCCTCTTGTTCTTACAATACACTGGTTGAAATTTCGCAATAAAAATAATCTTTAAAAGCTACATAATATAATGTGAGGAGGAAGATATACAAACAGGCCCCCTTCTGTCAGACCTATTTGCTGTTCTATGCATGAGTATCAGGGCCCATACCATGCCCTACCCAGAGTCTCTGTATCTCTGAGCATGCATTTGTTCTACAAGAGGGATGGTTTTCTCAGTCACATTCACTTGAGGTGTGGCACTTTGTCATCTGTGAACAGCCGCTACGTGATTGCAACCTTCCATTTCATCAAATGATAGAGCAGCATTTATTTGGATGGACAGTGTTGTCTTCATTTCTGCAATGATCGCCTGCCCCACCACCTCTGGAAAGCCATTGATGCTCAGAGACCTTGAAGAACAGGGACCAGTTGCTTATTCTAGCTATATTTTCCCTAGCAGTGGTCACACAACCCACCACCTTTCTGCTTTGTAGGTGTTCTTGTCTCTATGTTTTTGTGTTGTTGCTGCAATCTATCGACACTGAGAGGGACAAGTCTTGCTGCCTAAACTTCTTGGCACTGAAGGTTCTTTATGAAGGCTAAGCACAGGTGTGGAATGTATTCACACATTCAGGTGTGTGAATGTGTGAATACACAGATGACTGCTACAGATAAGCAGCCTGTCTTTTTCACTTCAGTGTGGCTGTTGGGCCTACTATTAAGTCCTTGTCTATCCACTTTGGCAACTTCCACATAGACTTTCAGACACCTTTACTTAATTCAGCAGATATTATTTACTTCTAGGCTACTTCCCTACCTCCTAGTGAACTCTTCCATCCTTAACTTTCCTAGTGACCATGGAAAGTCTTTGCAAAATACACTTCCATCATGCAAACTTCCGTGCTTCTTGTCCCAGCTACGTGTCTTTCACACACTGGCTGCAGGTAATGAGACTAATATTCCAACACAACTGGAGGACCCAGGTGGGGTAAGGCTGTGCACTTGTGTGCCATTTATCCAGCCTTTTAGAAAGACCATCCTATGGCTTCTGCTTATCTCAACTTGTTGAGTAAGTCTGACTCTGTGAACAAATCTGCCATAATTTCATCCCCATTTCCCCCTTTTTTTCTTTATCAATGTAGTTTAGTTTTGCAGATGGATTTGACATCCTTTTAATAATAGTAGGATCTATCGCAGCTGTTGCAGCTGGAACTGGGCAGCCGCTTAAGATCGTTATATATGGCCTCGTGACAAACAGCTTTGTGGAAACCAGTCTAAATATATCTACAGGTAAAGCATCACAAAATTTCCCCAAACTGCCGATATAGGATTCTGACTTGCTAGACCTGGAGAGAATGAGTATGTCACTGGAGGGAACATGATCTTAGAATAATATCAGTATTGGCTATTTTTCTTAAATAGGAAATCTTGATGAAATTTAGTGAGAGGAAAACCTCTCCGGGTGCTCAGGAAATAATAGGGCAAACTTTACTGAAGATTGGCAAAGTCTTGCAGAAAGTTTGTCTTGGGAAAAGTCTACAGGAATGATGGCAGCTGGAGTGGATGCCTCAAGTCCGAATGCATGTGTTCTTGCACACAAATGGATTGACTCGAAAGCACTTTAATCTCTGCTGGTTTTGACTGATAAACAGTGTGGCTTGTAAAAGGAATTCATCTCATCACAGAATCATGGCCCTGAAAATGTGACACATGAATCCCCAAAGTAATAAAAAGAGGCATTAGCGGAGAAAGAGGCTATTTTCAAGCATGGTCAAGAAAAAGATGGTGACATTTGGTGCCTATTGTGACAGATTCTATGTGATAAAATGCCTTCCTTAGTTTTCCTTTTTCCCTTTTGCATGGCTAATTTCTGGGATGGCAGTGTGCGCTTTTGTGTGTGTGTATATATCTCTTTTCTCAGGGGTTATGTGAACATTCAATATCTTGCTTACTGTAAATTACAACATGTCAAAATATTTTTACATGAAGCTGATGTACTCTTGTTTAGTTCTTTACTGTGTGTATATTTTATTGACAGGGACAGCTGGAGGGCATCTAGAGAAAGAGATTTTCACTAGAGAGATCAGAACTAAAAGTTTTAAAAAATATATGGAAAGCTACTTAACAAACTTAGCGAATAAAGCTTTCCTGATGGCATTGCCAAAACATCTTTCAAAAAATTGCTGTGAGCATTACTGTTTTACAGATAGTGTACAAATGAATAGCTCATCATGCCAAGAAGCTTCTACAGATATAGATGCTAGAACAGCCAGGTAAGAACCTATACATTCTTGTTTTGCAGAGACAGGACAGTTTCCAAAATGACGCACAACAGCAAATTCTTCAGCACCCCACAGTTTCCCTTTTGCAAATGGTGCCCACTGTTTATGCAAGGGAGATTGAGTACTTCTTGGGGGAAACCCAAAGTAAGAGGAAGTTCATATTTCTGAAAGAGGGAAGGTTGGCAGTCTTATCAGTTGGCAAGGCGTCCACTGGCCTGCCTCCTTCCCCAAGATGCTTTGGAGTTTCCTCTAGGAAGCATTACGTCTCCCTTGCATATGCTTGGGTCTAGCTTGCATAATGGAATGGTGGTACCCACCACTTGGGGAAGCGGATCAAGGGGTAGAAGGGAATCAGTGAGGGTGTAAACAGGGATACTGTCCTTATTGTTCTTTCAGGCCATCAGGACAAATTCTTACCTGTGATCACTTTCCTACCTGTTTTTCTGTTTGTTAGATTAATGTAGCACCTCCTCCCCCCAGGAGCTCAAGGTTGCATACATGGCCTTCCTTCGCCATGCCATTTAATCTTCACAACAGCTTTGTGAGTTAAGTCAAGTCAAGTCAAGAGTCTATAACTGGCCCATAGTCATCCTGTGAGCTTTCATATCTTCTAAATCTCAGGTCATCAGTTTAACCATGATACCAGCTTTGCTTTCCTCTCTGAACCTAAGTCAATTTGCAGTAGTTTTTCATTTAATATCAATTTGTGCAGAATTTACATAGCAGTTTCTACTTAATGGAAACATTTGGTTATGGACTCAACCTTCCGTGAATGTCTGCTTTGAATTGTTTGTGAGAATATTAGCAAATTTCTTACAGATTGCAAACACACATTCCACAATATTACAATGTGACCAAGAGAAGACTGCTCACATTTTTTTTAGCTACCTTTTTACCAGAATGAAATTGAGAGCCACTAGAGTGCTGGTGTGGTACTCAGGAGGTCTGGGTTCTATTCCCCACTTGGCCATGAAGCCCATTGGGTAACTTTGGGCCAGTCACAGACTCTCAGTTTAACCTGCCTCACAGGGTTGTTGTTACTCTTGTAAGCTTCCATGTGTTCCTTGCTAGAGGAAGAAATGTAAGATATCAGTGCAATGTAATGTAATGTAATAATAGTGATATAGAAAGAAATTATAATTCCTTATTGATTTTTCATATGCTCAACAGACATGCTAGCTATTATGTTGGTCTTGGCTTTGGAGTTATGCTCTGCAGCTTTATTGAAATCTGGGCCTTTGTGACTTCTTCTGCAAGACAAACAACCAGAATACGCAAGAAGTTCTTTTTTTCTGTACTTCACCAAGAGATGGGCTGGTTTGATACTATTCAGACTGGAACATTGAACACAAGACTGACTGAGTAAGAGGTTTTATTTATTTATGTATTTATTCATTTAAGCTTGGGTCTGTGTATGTATATACCATACATACTATGTATGTGTATACCAATGTATGCACCACTATCAAATCAAAAGATACTTATAAGCAGACAACAGATGTAGGCTAAAATACAAGATTAGACGCACAAGAAACCATGATCTGTTTTTTTTTAAATATAAACAATTTTAATCCAAAGCTAAAACAACAGCAGTGTTATTGTTTACTGTTATACGAGGCAGTATTCAGTGGGACACTTTCATTCTGCCCCACTGATTCTGTTCCCCATGTGGTGGAATCTTTTCAACCACTTGTGCAACAGGAGAGACTTGGCAATTGCTACAGGAAATCAACACATGCTTTTTCTGAAGAAAAAGATTTCTGCAGGAAAGCAGAACTCAGCTGAACCTTCCAGAAATGAGCATTTGCATTCAGTTCTGGTTTCCCCAGAAGCACTGACTTGTCATGTCAGTAGCAGAATCTGCTTGTGCAACAGAATCAGTCAGGCATGGGAGAATTGGCAGGGCTGTATGCCCTGGCCGGTAGCCACTCTTGATGGCATCACTTCAGACTTAAACAGATGCAGTTGTTTATGTTTGTAGGTGATTAGTGAGATGACTTGTTCTTGCTGCTACAGTCTAGCAACCTGATCCACCTGAAGACCAGGTGTGTATCCTACTACATCACTGAATCACATTCATAATTGTATATAGTGTACATTTTCCTCCTTCCTGTCCAAACCTCAGGTGCTATTGTGATGTAGTCATGATACAAATACCAAAAACCTGCCTGATGACTGTTTGGGAGGAGGATTCAGTCCCCTGCTCCCCACCAAACAGCTAATTAGCTAGCATGGTTTCACATTTTAAAAGTACTCCATGTGAACAGTTTCACCCAAGGAATTAATCAAGAGAATCTGCAATTAATTCACGTAACTTACCAAGAGAGAGTGCCTTTACGCACATCTTCCTTATGACTGTTTATTCTAATAACAGTGATTATAGTACAGTTAATATCAGTGTGACTGCTTATGGAATGCTTCTGAATGCCTTGCAAGGCAGAATAGATTTTAACAGAGGTTGTTAAAACATCTAATGTTCAATATTAAATATTGTCTTTGATTTCTGAGCCACTAAGTTCTTGCAGGCACATTAATTGTCCTATTAATTTCAACAGAGAGGGCAGATCTATGTAGCCAGAGGAAAATGGACACAGATTTTTCTCTTCTTTTAAAATAAAAGAAGCAGCTTTCATGGAGTGTGGGACCTCTGTGTGCACTTCAGAATCCTAGCACAGAATTGCCATATAATTATGCAAACCTTAAACCCTGGCAGTCTTCTAAACTTTGCTTCTACAGGACTGTTAGGCCAGATTTTCTGAGGCATATTTTGTTGGCCCTTTGTTCAAATACAACTTCTGAATGCTTAAATTACTTGGGTATCTTGGAGTGACTAATGGAAGACAGGAATTATCTACCATTGATTTTTTTAATGTTTTGTTTGATCTTTACATATGATGTATCTCTTCTGATTTGCTAATAATAATCTAGACCAGTGGTAGTGAACCTATGGCACGCGTGCCACAGCAGGCACGCAGAACCCTCTCTGTTGGCATGTGAGCCAAGTCACCCCAGCAGCTGAGCATTGGATAACAGCGCACATAGGGGCCATGCGCATGCTCGGAAAGGAGTAGCGGCACCAGGCGATAACGTCACGAGCTGCGACTCATTAGCCGCGATTCATCCAAGCTTTCGTATGGCCGGTCAGTGCACTGCCAAGGATATATAGGTTTGCTTGGACATGCTGTGAGTTGTTTTTCCTAAACCAAAACCTCCATTTTCAGGTTTTACTGTAGTGTTGGCACTTTGCGATAAATAAGTGGGTTTTGGCTTGCAGCTTGGGCACTTGGTCTCTAAAAGGTTCGCCATCACTGCTCTAAACCAAAGCTGATTTCCTCTTTCTCTTGCTCCAGTCCAATTTTCTAGTTCCAAGACATTTTCAGGGAAGGAAAAGAAATTGGAATATTTCTCCAAAATATAAGTTCTATGTTATGCAATGCATCTATAGCATAGTACATTTATTGTACCTCAAAATGTTAAAGGCTTAGCATTCATGAAGCAATATGTAGAGAAAAGGTAGCTTTCCGCCCATCCCACTGGTCTTTCCTTGAAAGCTGTAGGAAAAAATCTTTAAGATATCAAATATTTATGTTGAGTTTTAGCATCACAAATAAGTAAAAAAGCAAAAACAGCTTCCAGAGCCTAGTTTTTGAGCACTTCAATTGCATTGTTAGTATTGTTTTTTGAGAAATGCCTGAATTTCACAGGGTTTCTTTCTCAATTGCAGTGATATTAATACCATTCATGAAGGCATCGGAATCAAGATTGGTATAATAATTGAGGTTTTTAGCACATTTGTATCTGGGATTATCATAGCATTCGCGTACGGATGGAAACTGACCCTGGTGACCTTGTGTATTGCCCCTCTTCTTGTTGCATCTGGGTTTGTGTGGTCATATGTAAGTTGCTAGAGCTATGAATTATGGAGTTATTGAACTGGAAGGCACAACCTGTTCAGCTATGGAGCAGCAGGGTGACCTCAGTGTAGCCTATAGCAAGTCCACGAATGCTATTCTGTGCTTGTTATTGGACAGACAGCCAGTTATCAATTAATAATGTCAAACATGAACCTGACTAGTAAACATGAAGGCCTTATTTATTTATCTAAATTTTATTTATTTGATTTATACCCTGACTTTCCTCCAAAAATATATCTCAGGGCAGCTAACAGTAATAGGACTGAGATATACACTTCGCTCCTGCAAGGGTGGGGGTCCTCTTCAAAGGTCTGCTCCTGGAAGTTCCTGGAGATCTTGTTGTTTTCCAAACCTTTTTATTTGCCCCATAGTTTAATAATTAACTTTTAATCTTTACTGTTATACTGTATAGTATAGCAACTGCTATGGTTTTATTGTTTTTATTGTTTTAGTGTCTTGTTGTGTTTATGCTATTTTCTTTGTTTATAAATTTTTAACTTTTTGTTAACCACCCTGTATAAAATTAAATTAAGTATTTATTACATTTTTATATCACTTAATAGCGAAAGCTTTCTGGGTGATACATAACAATTTAAAACAATGCAAAAACACCAACTACATCATTAAATAGAGTGTAAAACATTAAATGGTTAAAAGCTATAGTAAAAAATTTAAAAAAAGACCAGAGCAAGAACTAGTGGCAGTACAAAGATTTTAAATTCAATACAGATTTTGAAAAGGCTGAAACTAAAATCCCTGGCAGAATTCCTGGGAAAATACGAAGTCTTCACCAGGTGCCAGAAAGAGTGTAGTTTATGTGCCAGGCAAGCCTCTCTGGGAAATCAATTTCATAGTCAGGGTGCCACAACAGAAAGGCCCTGTTCCTCATAGCCACACACTTTACTCCTTTGTCAGGGAGTCGCTCAGAAGGACTGCTGAGGATGATCTTAAGGTCTGGGCAGGTATCTATGAGAGGAGAAAGGCCTTCAGGTAACATGTAGGAGCTATGCAGGGCTTTGAAAGTTAATACCTGTGCTTTGGATTGGACCTGAGCATGGGCTGACAGCCCATGCAGATGGTAAAGAACTGACCTAAGATGATCATGTTGGCTAATCCTTGCTAATAATCTTGCTGCTTTGGACCAGCTAAAAAATAGTCACAAAGCCAAGCAAATTAAAGGCACAATGAAAATCAATTAATGACAGAGGGCCCAATGGAGAATCCAGCAACAGATCTTCCTTCAGCAACAGGTCAGCCTACATGCCAATAGCCTGTCTGAATAAATATATAATGACATATTATTGTAGAGCTTTAGAACTGTAGAATTAAATAGATGTGGAAGGAGCCCCATTTATGGCATCTCTTTTAACTTGCCATATTTTGATGAAATGTCACCTTTCCATTTTCTAAAAGATCATTTTAGCATATTGTCTGGAAAAAAACCCCTATCAGCTATTATACTAAAACTTGCATAATCGACTCCAGCAAAGCAATCTAGGTAAGAAAGTCATTGCAGCAAAAAAGGCATGTACGATCTATTTTATTAGTGTTTAAAGGGGGGCGATTCAGGTCTGAAATTAAAGCAGACCAACAATCTAATTTATAATTACCCTTCACCTAGAGTAATTCAGCTAGTTGATGTGTACTTCTGCCAACTGATTTCTGTCATTTTTCTTTACCAGCTCCTGGCAGTGTTGACTACAAAAGAGCTGTTGGCTTATGCCAAGGCAGGTGCTGTAGCAGAAGAAGTCTTGTCTGCCATCCGGACAGTTGTTGCTTTTAATGGACAGGCAAAAGCCATGTCGAGGTAAGGTGACAGATAGATAAATATAGATAGGAATGTAGGGAAATGGTATTGCCTGCACAGACTGGCAGCAGCTTCCATGAGTCACAGGCAAGAGACCCTCCCAGCTCTGTCTGGAGACAACTTGGAACAAAAGCTGAGGCCTCTTATAAGAAATGCATGTTCTAACACCAAGCAAGGAATCTTCCCTATTGTCTAGTTTTTCATCCTGTGAATTCATAGCCCCTTTGTACTCAGCTACACTTGAGATATAATGTACTTTCCCAAATGTAATAGCAAAGCTCTGTATAAAGTTAGATCTTATTCTAAAAGGCAAAGACCAACATTATAAAAGTCAAAGTCCTTTTTATTTAGCTATTTTAATTGTTAATCTGCTTTTTTAATAGAATGTGAAATTATTAACTCTGTTAAGATGAGGTAGGGTGTGCTTTTATTGTCTTAAAGCTTTATTGTTATTCCATTTTTGTGTTTTCATATTGTTTGTATATGATTTATTATTGTAAGCCATTCAGGGAGCCGTGTGGTTAATGGAGTGGTCTAGAAATAAGTAAGTAAGTAAATAAATAAGCAAGCTGTCCCACTAGCCATAGGCTACCTGGGCGGCTTATTATTTATTTATTTATTTATTTATTATTTTTCAATTTATATCCTGCCTTTTTCCTACAAAGGGCTCAAGGCAGCTTACATCTCCTCCTCCATCTTATCCCCACAACAACAACCCTGTGAGGTAGGTGGCCTGAGAGTCTGTGACTGGCCCAAAGTCACCCAGTTGGCTTCATGGCTGAGCGGGACTAGAACCCAGATCGTCTGAGTCCCAGTCCCATGCTCTTCACCACTACACCACACTGGCTTATAGCATATTAAAATCCATAACAGCATAAAAACAAAACAATATAATATACAACATGACAATGCACAATTTCAAAAGATCAGTAACAGTAAAATCATAAATTAGCTTTCAAAATTAAATAAAACCAAAATAAACACAATAGAAATAATAAAATTAAATAGATATCCAAAAAAAGACAAGATCCATTAAACTTTAGTATGTTTCAATATCTAGCATTTAAAAACCTATTGGCAGCAGCATATTAATAACATAAAAATTAAAACATTAAAAATAAAAAATCCACCTATTGAAATAACTGTGGAATAAGTATGTTTTTAGTTGGTGCATAAAGGCCAAAAAAGTAGGTGCCAACTGAACCTTGAATGAAAGTGAGTTCCAAAGTTGGGGTGCTATACTTGAAAAAACTCTCCACCTTGCAAGTCGCCCCTCCCCTTATTTCATTAGGGGGAGGAACAGGGAGGAGGGCTTTGGGTGAAGACCTCAGTGGATGGGCTGGTACATATGGAGAAAAGCGCTCCCTCAGATAACCTGACCCCAAGCGTTATCCGGGCTTTGTATGTGATTGTAAGCACATTGAATTGGGCCTGGACAGCAACCAGCAGCTGAGGTAGCCTGCAAAGGGCCAGTGTGATATGCTCACAAGTGTTGGTCCTAGTCAGCAGGCATGCCGCCTGATTTTGGACAAGTTGCATGGTCTGATCTGTTTTCAAAGGCAGTCCCACACAGAGCACATCATGGCAATCCAAGTGGAAAGGGTACCATGCATGGATGACTGCAGCAAGGCTCCACTCACCTAAGTAGGGCTGCTCCTGATAGATCAGTCAAAGCTGACAAAAAGTGCTCCTGGAAACTGAGTCCATCTGGGCCACAAGTGACAACTTGGGATCCAGGAGTACTCCAAGGCTGCAAACCTTATCATTTAGGGGGAATGCAACCCTGTCCAGAACAGGTTGGAAATGGAACAGTTGAACAGATGGACTCCGGCTGACAATACAAATGTTATGTTTATGGAAGTAGATGTCACTAAAGATAAGATTGTGGAATCTCTCTGATTTCAGGTATGATTCAAACCTAGAGGAGGCTAGGACGGTTGGAATGAAAAAGACCATTGCCAAAAATATTACTATGGGCATCTCCAAATTTGTGGTGCTTTCTGGCTATGCACTTGGTTTTTGGTATGGAACAAAACTCTCAGTGGATGAGAAGAATAACTATAGCATCGGAGTAATTTTAATTGTAAGTCTGGTTGTTCAGCTAAATGTGTGGTTTAAAGATATGATCTCTGAAGTTCACATATAGATCGAGGTTTCATTAACAATTTGGGAAGCCGAGGGCACAATCCACAAAAACTGAAAGCAGGATCTGCACCAACAGATCTCTTTTCTTTAGCAAATACCAGCTAAGATATCAACAACATATATTGGGGTTCTTTACCCAAATGTTCATTAATTTATGTTTTCCTGCCTTAAACTTCAGCTGCCATTATCCTAATTTCTTTTTCTAGAGTCTCTTTGCTTTGGGAACATTAAATAGATCACCATAAAATATTAAAATATTATTTTCTCTGTAGGAGCTACAAATTCCTGCTGAACAAAATAGAGGACAATGTTTTTCTCTTTTATTGTTTTCATAAACAGTGCACTTATAAAATGGAGGAGCACTATCTATGCATGTTTATTTGGGGGCAAGTTCCATTTGTGGACTGCACCGAACTCCCAGCTATATGTAGCCTGAACTGCTGTTTTAATTGGTATGGTACTGTATTAACTGAAGATAAAGAAATGAGAGACAGTGTGTATTACTACTCTTCTTTCTGTCTCCTCCAATGTAGGTATTGGTTGATGTGTTCCTTGGTTCATTGATGTTTGCACAAATTTTCCCAAATGTTGAGAATGTGTCCAATGCTCGTGGAGCAGCCTATGAAGTCTTTAAAGTAATAAAAAAGGTGTGTATTGACCAAGATACACAATGTGAGTGCTGTTTTCCTTCTCTGTCTTTCTGTAATTTTCTGTATGTTCCATTAGTGCATAGAACAGAATAGTGAATATACACGAGACTTTTCAAAGTGAACCATGGCAGCATCCGAGATAGTACTGCTCTAAAAAGCCTTGCTCTAAAAAGCCACAGAAATGGCTGGGAAGCATGGGAAATACCCTGGAAATGATCACGGGCATGCAATAAATGTCTCATGGAGCAAGAATTGTGCCTGTTTCTGTCACTTAAGTGATCTACAGTGAGGTGTAAAGAGGGGACCACAACAAATATCCATTAAGAAAATTGGACTTCTTGAAAGTTATTCTTACATATCCAAGTGGTAGGATTTCAGCCTGATGGTGGATTCCAGACTTTTTGATCCAAAATGGAACTCTGCTTACCAGAAATGCAACCCTCTCAAAAGACACAAGAGAGTGTTTCAAAGGGTGCAGTTCTAATATCATTTACCATTAGACTGAAGGAAAAACAGGCCTGCATTAAACATGTAGAAGAGTAATTTCTTTCAAATTGTCTTTCTAGCCCTGTCAGTTAGATAGCAGTTCTGGTGAAGGGTTCAAGCCAGACAAGCTCCGAGGAGAGATTGAATTCAAAAACATCAGTTTCAGCTACCCTTCCAGACCTGATGCTCAAGTAAGATGCATACCCCCCTCCTCTCTCTGTGTAGATAAAACCATTTGTAAAAGAGATATTCTTATTGCCCTTTGCTGACTGTTTGAAGAAGTGCTGATAACATGTAAGAAATTGGGCTGGATCCAGATATAGGCACACAAAACTGAGCTGGTGGACACAAACTCCCCCACCTCCACTTTCCCTCAGCAAGCCTTCCAACCCCAGGAAAATGTTGCGCAAATGTTGAGGATCTTGCTGAACGAAGTGAGCTGTGGTACGGGAGGAGAGATATCAGGTGGAGCAGTCCTTCTGACCCCAGCTCTTCTGTTTCAATCTAACCCATGAACTGAAACAAAAGAAGCATTTGCATTTGGAACACAGGATGTCATTCACTCACCAAATCTATGAAGTGCACCTCTGTGGTCTTTACTTTGCAATTCATTAGTACACTGGTCCATCCTAAAGGTAGAAAGATGGTAAAAGTTTTGCATATTTTTAAAAGATTTTTTTTAAAATAATGCCAGGTTCTCAAAGGCCTAAATTTAAAAATCCAGCCTGGAAAAACAATTGCTGTTGTGGGTTCCAGCGGCTGCGGGAAAAGCACCACCATTCAGCTACTGCAGAGATTCTATGATCCAGTGGAAGGACAGGTATGTTTTGATGGATTCATACTGTGCATTTTCCTGTAGAAAGAGGCAACCCACTGGACAGTTGATGGAAAATGTACATGACATTGATTACAGCTCATTCCATTTTTAAACTAATCTAATCTGAGTTCTTCCATTAATTATAAGGGCTGGATCCAAACCAAGATAGTGCTCTTAAGTAAAATCGAGAACAGTGAAAATCGCTTACTGAAGTGGGAGGTGAACACATCTAACTTAGTGTATAGTCCTGCCAGGATGCCTATAAGCAGCTGACCTCAAAGGCACATGGGCATTCAGTACAGAGCAGAAAGAATGGCGAGGATCATCTTCACATCTTTGCTCCCCCTGCTTTGCTGCTCCGTATTTTCTGCTCTGGTGTTTTGGAGGGGAAAGCTGAACTTAATTTTAGGAGCTGTTCTGACTCTGTACTATTGGCTTCATTTTATTTAGTACATAAATTATTTCAGCAGAATAAAAATGGTCAAAGGTGAAAGAGCTCCTTGGGTTAACAACATAGATGAGTAACATGTTTTTGTCAACAGAAGATGTAGTGAAGGTTTGTGACTCTTGTGTTTGTGGGGCTTCTTATCCACTGCAGCTTTTATTTTGAGCTTTCTAGGAGCTTTCCTTGGGAATCATGGAGAATTTCTATAAAACACACAGCAAAGGCATTAAATCTAGCTGCAGGTACTGGTTAAGTTTACTTGCTGTGTGAAACCTGTAGGCCCTCAGTAAAGGTATGAAATCACCAGCTACCTGGCCCTGTGAATTCCTTCCCTCATCCTTGAGGTAAAGATGTTTACATACCCTTCTGCTGAATTTAACTGGGAAAGCTGGGTCTCCCAGCCTCACTTCCCTTGTCTTCAAGAAGCTGAGCTAACTTGGATAAACTGACAGCATTTGAAACAGGTAGAGAGGAACTGTACCAAATTCACACCAAAGGGGATTATTTTTGGCTTCCTGCTTTTCTTTTATTTATTAATAATGTACATCCATATTCCATTCTTGTATATATTTCATAATTGGTATACCATCTTTGACACAAGTAGCTTTATATTCTTAAATCTAAAGTTAAGTGCCTTGGCTAGCCCAGTCTCCTGAAGCTGAGAGAGATACATGGACTTTTCCTACAGCATGGAGCATGCCTGTTCCTGCTCACATCATGCATAGCCTCCTGCTAAGAAGCAAGCTGGACACATGACCCAAAGTGTTCTCTGGGTCACCACCTTAGCCTACAGCTCTGCTCTCCATTGCTCTACTCAACACTTACTGTAACAAATTGCCTAGTCCAACAAAACCTGCATTTTCATGACAATGTATACAATTGCAATGAGAATTTCTACTGAAAAAAGGACTTGGACATGTGAGGTGAAGTGGGGCTAATTTATGGGGTTGTTTATAGGATCTGATCCAAAATAATTTAGGTGCACTCAGTTTTCACTGAGATTAATAGAATTAAAATGATTAACTTTTCACACTGATGACAATGGGACCTAAGTGCAAGTTAGTTTCAGATCTAATTTGTAGCTTTCTATCTTTTTCCTTTAAAATGTTTAGGTGATGATATCACAGAAGTTTAAGAAAACTTATTAAATAACATGCAGGTCCAATCTTTCACTTTGTCCCTGTTGAACTTTCTAAAATGTTCTGATTAGGGTTTAAAGTATCCACCTTAAAATCTGCTTGTATGGCTCTTACAAACTCCACTGATCTTTCTCCCAGGTTACCATTGATGGACATGATATCCGGACACTTAATATCAAGTGGCTGAGAGAAAACATTGGCATTGTTAGCCAGGAACCGGTTTTGTTTGGGACCACGATAGCAGGCAACATTCGGTATGGCCGGGAGGATATTACTGATGCTGAAATTGAGCAGGCAGCTAAAGAAGCGAATGCTTATGACTTCATTTCAAAGCTCCCTGATGTGAGTAACTGAATTTTCAGGGTCTCTGTCATGACCCTGAGAACTCTGTTGAGGATATGCAAGGCTTTCAGTGTGTCAGCCTTGAACTGTTTTCCTAATACTTTTAAGCAGTTTTTACAGTTTCAAAGGTAGGATTTTTTTTCAGTGACCTATCATCTTTTCAGTTTGTTATGAATAGGGATGATATTTTTTTCTTTATGGTACATGGTAACAGGGTCAGAGAATACTCTGAATAATATTATACACTTTCCACCATCTAGGAGCTGGAAAAATCCATTGATAAGCCTATGCTAAACAGATCTAATTCTGGTAGCAACCAAAACACCCACAGGAAGTTTTCTGAGATCGACAGTATGAAGGAGTCTAGTAGTTTACAGAGCACCACCAGTGGGAATGAAGCAAGCAATGAAGGATCTGTTGCTAAGTTTCGAAGGGTAGTATAGCTTGAAGGCCACTTCCAGAGGACTCTGTATTGTTTCCATTCCACTAGAGGCAAAATGGAGGTTCTCCTGGGTTCAGATGACCAGAGAAGCTGAAGTGGACTGTTGAAACCTTAGCATAGACCATAGATAACCTCCATGGATTCAGAAAACTAATCCTAGTCATGGATGTGCCTGGTTTGCAGCTGCTCATCAAAATTCTTCTGTGCTCATCTCTCTTCAAGGCAGAGAGCCAAGCCTGGAAGAAGTCTGCAAGAGTTTGTGGACCTCCAGTTGCACAACTGGGAATCTTCCCCAGTTGACATTCCCAGCAACCAACCTCCCTTTCTACTCGCTGCTGGTGGCAGTGGGACATGGGGAAAGTGAGTACAGTGAGTGTAGCACTCAATTTCTGGCAAGCACTCCATGAACCATAGGTGCAATATAAATTGGACCCAAGTCTGCGAAGCCAAAACAATGGAATCTGGTGGATTTTCCACCCAAAACAGCTTCCTCACACATGCCTAATCCTACCACACAGGAACTTTGGAAAGGGGTTCAGCCAGCACAACAGACTCATGATGGTCAGGTTTTACCAAGCCCTCTCATATTGTGTGAACCTGTTCTGTGAGAAAGAATGACCCTGAGACCTAGTCCACATGAGCAAACAGCCTAGGATGAGATGCAGTTCAGTTTAAGATCCAAGCTGCAGCTTGTCATGGTGACCAAAGCTAGGAAGTAGTTCTTTTGATAAGGTTAACTAACCCTCTCATATCCCTAGAACTGTATGTGGGTTATGTGAGGATCTTTCAGTGCTCATAGAAGCCCCACTGCCCATGTCATGAATGGCATGACAAGCCATGGCTTGAATATTCAAAGCATGTGCCAGAGCCCATCATGGCTTACATAAGCCATGTTGGGCTGTTTGATCTTGCAAATCAGCTCAGGGACAGTTCAAATGTCTTTCAGTATTAGAGACAAAAATCTCTTGCAATAGTTCCATGCCAAGGACATCATTCTGTCTCCATAATCTTTTGCAATCTGAATATCAAAATGAACTTGGTATATATAACTTGCACATTAGACAGATAACTGGTATAGCATATAAGTGTTCTGGTTGTTTTTTGTTGTTGTTAGTTGCGAAGTCATGTCCGACCCATCGCGACCTCATGGACAAACTTCCTGTCCTCCACCATCTCCCTGAATCCACCCAAGCTCACACCAACTGCTTCAGTGACTCCATCTAGCCACCTCATCCTCTGCCGTCCCCTTCTTCTTTTGCCATCTATTGTGCCCAGCATTAGACTCTTCTCCAGGGACTCCTTCCTTCTCATTAGGTGGCCAAAGTATTTGAGTTTCATCTTCAGTATCTGGCCTTCTAAAGAGCAGTCAGGGTTGATCTCCTCTAAAACTGACTGGTTTGATCTCTTTGCAGACCAAGGGATTCTCAGGAGTCTTCTCCAGCTCCACAAATCAAAGGCCTCAGTTCTTTGGCACTCAGCCTTCCTCATGGTCCAGCTTTCACAGCCATACATTGCAACTGGGAAAACCATAGCCTTGACTATACGCACTTTTGTTGGCAGGGTGATGTCTCTGCTTGGAGTGATCTTGGTGATCTTGGAGTCCAAGAAAATAGAATCTGTCTCTACCTCCATTTTTCCCCATCTATTTGCCAGGAAGTGTCAGGACTGGATGCCATTATCTTAGTTTTCTTAATGTTGAGTTTCAAGCCAATTTTTGTACTCTCCAAACATGAGAATAGCCCAATTTAAATATTTGTTCATCTAGGCTTTTACCAGCACATTGTTATAAAATGGAGAATCACAAGCACATTCATTCTTGGTGCATCAGAAATTTTCTTAAATCAGAGTTTCTTTATCACTCACATTTTCTAGATATCCATTCATCCTGATTTGGAGTCTTGAGGTAATCAGAACTGAGGTGGCTATCTAAAATGTATGGCTCTATGTGCCATTGTTTTGCTGTTGTTAGTCGCAAAGTCGTGTCCAACCCATGGACAATATTCCTCCAGGCCTTCCTGTATTCCACCATCCCCCGGAGTCCACTTAAGCTAACACCAACTGCTTCAGTGACTCCATCTAGCCACCTCATTCTCTGCCGTCCCCTTCTCCTTTTGCCATCTAATGTTCCCAGCATTAGGCTCTTCTCCAGGGAGTCCTTCCTTCTCATTAGGTGGCCAAAGTATTTGAGTTTCATCTTCAGGATCTGGCCTTCTAAAGAGCAGTCAGGGTTGATCTCCTCTAGGACTGACCAGTTTGATTGCCTTGTGGTCCAAGGGACTTGCAGGAGTCTCCTCCAGCACACAATTCAAAGGCTTCAATCCTTCAGTGCTCAGCCTTTCTTATGGTCCAGTTTTCACAGCCATACATTGCAACTGGGAAAACCATAGCCTTGACTATACGCACTTTTGTTGGCAGGGTGATGTCTCTGCTTTTTAGTATGCTATCCGGGTTTGCCATAGCTTTTCTCCCCAGGAGCAAGCGTCTTTTAATTTCTTGGTTGCAGTCCCCATCTGCGGTGATCTTGGAGTCCAGGAAAATAAAATCTGTCACTACCTCCATTTGTTTATTATTTATTTATTTATTTAAAATATTTCTATGTTGCCCCCATTGCAACAAAGCCTTGGGGCGGCTCACAAAAACTACATAAAACATACATAAATAATAATAATATAGCAATTAAAAGAAGAAAACAACAACAACAACAACAACAACATTAAAAAACCCCCGGTGCATTTTCGGCTAATTTTTTTAAAAAATCCTAATTAATACAATAATTTAGCAATTAAAATAAGTTTTAAATAAAAAGGTTTCAGCCTGGTGCCGAAAAACAAATAACGTTCCCCATCTATTTGCCAGGAACTGAGAGGACCGGATACCATGATCTTAGTTTTCTTAATGTTGAGTTTCAAGCCAACTTTTGCATTCTCTTCCTTCACCTGCATCAAGAGGCTCTTTAGTTCCTCTTCACTTTCTGCCATGAGAGTGGTATCATCTGCATATCTGAGGTTGTTGATATTTCTCCCAGCAACCTTAATTCCAACTGGTGATTCATCTAGCCCCACCTTTCTCATGAAGTTAAATAGGCAGGGCGACAGTATACAGCCTAGCTGAACTCCTTCCTCAATTTTGAACCAATCAGTGGTTCCGTGTCCAGTTCTCACCGTGTCCAGTGGTTCCATGTCCAGTCCAGTGCCATTGTTTAATTAGTGTTAATTCCTGAATTGTTCTCATTCAGCCAATTGTTTACATCATACTCATTGACTTCCTTATGTCAACAGAAAACTTATTTTTAGCAAATGTAACCTTTAATCTCTCAGGAAATATTAGCATTCAATATAAATAGCCAGCTAATTTAATTGCTTAAACTGAATTCATATATATGAATGAATATGGTTTATTCTGTGCCAGGCGAGCACTCTCAAGTTTCTTCCATTTGGATTTTTTCCTGCTATTGTTGGCTAAGATGTCCTTATGTGCCGGATAAAATTATTACTGACACTATCAGTCTGATATTTGATGCTGAGAGTAACAAGTCCCTCCTATATTCGGTGAGGTATGGTATCTTTCAGGCAGAAACCAAAAACTCTGCTCGCTCACTTGCACTCTGCCCACCTTTCCTTGCTTGTCAAAGTTCGGTGTGATTTCCTCTGATTTTCATGGTCTGATTCTCCCAGAGGTTTAACACCATGGTTGGAGAAAGGGGAGCCCAGCTGAGTGGAGGGCAGAAACAGCGCATTGCTATTGCCCGTGCCCTGGCCAGAAACCCCAAGATCCTGCTGTTGGACGAGGCTACCTCTGCTCTGGATACTCAGAGCGAATCCATAGTGCAAGCAGCACTTGATAAGGTAAACCCACCACTATGATTGCAAGCTCTCAAGGATGAGTTTCAGCAAGGCATGCAGAATGAGTGCAAAGGACTGGAAATCAGGCTGGGAATAAATGTGTGTTAAACATTCATGATGTACAAGAGTAAATTAGTATTCATGTGGGTTGGGAGTAAACTGAGAAGTGGCCCATTTAATGATACTGGGATCACATGACCCAATAACCTAACATGGATGACAAGCCACAGTGGGCTGTCTTATCATGTGAACTTCAACTACTTCCCACAGAGTGGCTTGTTTGGGGGTTGCTATACTCAGACTGTGCTGCCATGTCATCCAAACTTGCGTGACTGTACAGTGAATGAGCCATTTTGCAAGAGGGCTGATCCCTACTGAGGATGCCAGGTTCACCAAGACCAGCACAAAGGTCATCTGCTCCACTAATGCTCAGGCAGTGTAGTCAAGTGCCCATCACTGGATTGATTGCAAGCCCACTTTCTCTTGCCAAAGCGTCCCTTCCCTGCTTGCAGGTTTCTTGGTCTTGTTTTGTGGAGATTGCCTTTTGCAGTCTCTGTACGGAGAGCCAGTGCTGGCCCTCCAGAGTGCCCAAGCAATGCACTGTATTGCTCCTTTCTAGAGATTCTACCAGGCTTTAGCAACTCAAAGAGCAAAGACAATTTAACCAACATGTAGGAAGCCACTGGAGACAGACCTTGACAAACATACCTTTGAACATACCTTGGTAAACTGAGGTGACAGGGGCAACAGAAACAGCCTCCTCCTCCTCATGTTCTTGTTATTATATTAATATTCCACCTTTTTTACTTCCAATGAACTCAAAGTGGCTTACATCATTCTCTTCTTGCAGTTCTCAAACTTATCCCCACAACAACAGCCCTGTAGATAGGTTGGGCTGACAGTCTGTAACTGGCCCAAAGTCACACAGTGAGCTCAGAGCTGAGCAGGCACTCAGCACCTGAGTCCCATTCCCACACTCTTAACCACTACACCACACTGACTCACACTGGCCCTGTATTACAATTAATCTGACCAAGATCTTCCATGTCAGTCCCAGCCAGGGGACACAGTGAAAGTGCAACCTGTAGCAAATCTGGTAGAGCCTACTCAAGGCAATAGTAATTCAACCCTAAGACACAGATAGACATTGGATGAATACCAAGCCATAATGTGAGACAATTAAGGCAAATGACAAAAGAATTTAAATGAAGGACCAGAATGCAAACAGTGGAAGATCCTGTGGAATAAGAAGACAGAATCACTGCAGCTTGATAGGGCTCTATCTGGAAATCCTTGTCCAAATAAAACCTTGAAGGTTGTTTGTAAAGCTTACAAGGTTGTTTGAATGTATGGTTGCAGCGCATCATTTCTGAATCCTCCAGATCCCAATCCTGCTTTCTCCAAATGGCCATGTCCCTTTCTTCTGACAGTTGGTCAGCTGGTGTTTGCCCAGGCTTTGCATATTTCCCAAACCTTGATCTTTTATTTTAGCATGCTAAAATGTTGAGAAGTTTCCACTTTATGCATAGCTCCTAGCAGTAAAAGTATTACGGTAAACTATTCTGGCATTTTTGGTATTTTGGCCCTGCCCCATCTTGCCTTCAGCCCCCTTTACCCCTGCAATGTACCCCTGAGAGCACCTCCAACATTGAATTTTTGGGGAAAGGGGTTCAATATAATCTGTTCTTACTGGTTTGAAATGGTTCATAGCTTCCCATTCCTATCTTTTAAGGCCAGGACCGGTCGTACCACCATTGTGATTGCTCACAGACTCTCCACAATCAGGACAGCAGATGTTATTGTGGGCTTTGCGAAGGGTGTTCTTGCTGAGCAGGGGACACATGAAGAACTCATGGCACAGAAGGGCATTTACCATGACCTTGTAATGCAACAGGTAACCAGAGACACTGGCTCGTTCTGCACATAAGGCTAAAGCTGGTTTAACAGTACAAGTACAAGTCAGAGCAAGCCTCCACCCAACACCCCCACTTCCCTCTCTTCCTCCAGCCCAGCTGTGAGGAGACTGGAAGCTTCTGCTTCTTTTTTAGATGGATGCAGTTCAGGGTTCTGTCCAAACTATAACTAGTGAAAACAAGCCATCTCCAGAAATTATGGATTGCAGTTGGCTGGTTTCCCTTAACCACACTTTGTCTAGGTTCAGAAGTCACAGTTTAGTTTAGAATGGATGTCAACATTTCCAAACTCCTCCTTGCAAATATACCAGATGGTGCGCAGGAGAGCCCAAAATTGCTGCAGCTTGTCCCCAGTGATAAGTCATGTTTAGGGTTGCATTTGAAAAAGGCCAATGAAACATCCTATCAGAACTTTATTTATTAATCCTTGATGTACTGCGTTTTCTCCAAATCCCAGTATAATATGGCGTTTCGGCTATAGCTGGTACCTGAGAGACTGCATTAGCCTAGCCCATCTTGGCAGGAAGGTCCAGAACCTGGGAAGTGTACTATTTGAGAATGTACCACATGTGGACTTAATATTCATGGTAATGAAAGAGACGGATTTTATTAGTAATGTATTTTCTTCTACTAAATCCTATTTTATCATTAGTGTTACAGTGGAGACGATCTAGATGACAATTCAAATTCAGATTTTGAGGAGGAGGAGGTTGAAAACTCTGAGAAAGACGACCAAGACAATCCGGAGACAAATGACTTGGAAAATCCTGTTGCTGGCACAGAACTAGTTAATAGGAGAAGGACCAACACATACAGCATCCGTCATGTTACTATGAAACATTGCTCTGAAAGGAAGAAGAGGAAGGACTGGACAAAGAAAGAGAAGAAGGATAAAGTGGTTGGTTCTAAACGTAATCCATGCATACCTTGTGGTTACAATATTGCATTTGTAATTGAGCTTCGGCTAGTGGGCAGTCTAGAAATAAAATAAATATTTAACAAAGATTTTTGTTAAAATTGCCAGATATGTTACCTTTCATATACAACTTGTGACATCCAATCATTGTTCAGGGCCAGTTTTGATGAACTTCCAAGTTAATATATTCTGTCTTGGCAGATTGATCATTTGATTGTCACTGAAATACAAAGTCTGCTCCACTTACCCTAGGCCAGATTCTCCATAGTTCATTGTTAAGGTCTGTAGTAGCTATTGCAAGGAAAGGGGAAAACTTGCTGAAAGAAAAATGCAAAGAAAAAGGAAACGGCAACAGTAAGAAGCACTGTTTTGCTGAGAGCTCAGTCCTGGAGGGGAAAGATGATATTTGAACGAATGTAGTGAAGATGCTGTTAGGCTGACCTGGAAGTGCCATTCTTTCCTAGAGTACCTTTTCTCCCCATGATGAAGCTCTGAACATTCCCACAAGGCCATCAAGAATAATAGTACCCAATTCCTGGAGCACTTCTCTACTTAAAATATGGAAACTTTTTGAAACTTAGGAATGCAGGAAATGGATAGATGAACCCATGAATGTTCATACATTTAAAAATATCAGCAGATGTGCCAGAGAGGGGCAAAGCCAAACAGCTGCCATTTGGCATTTATATATGAATGGAAACAGGGCTTCTGGAAACAGGAGGCATTTTGCAGTAGTGGAAAGACACCACTGGATACAATCCATTGTGAACATGCTTGCTCTCTCTCACTTTCTCTGCCAAAGTAATGAATGAAAAGTGCAGCAATTGGTGAGACTTCAGTTTTGTGTGTGTGTGTGTGTGTGTGTGTGTGTGTGTGTGTGTGTGTTTTAAGGCTGAGTAGTGTAAGCAGATAGGTAAACATGCAATTCTTCCAGTTATAGATAGGAAAATGGTAGAAAGCATAAAGTTAAGACTGGAAAAAGGAAACAGGTAATAGGTATTCCTGGGCATCTGAAGTTGAATTTGCTGAGATAGGGTCATATTTCTAACAGTATCAGCCAATGTAGCCAATATAAGATGATGATTACATTACATTAATATCCTGTCTTTTTTATTCTTGTGAGGAACCCAAGGTGGTTTACATAGTCTTCCTCCACCCCATTTTATCCCTACAAAAACAGTATTGTGAGGTAGGTTAGGCTGAGACTCAGGGCCTGGCCTTAGTGAACCTAGTGAACTTCATGGCTGAGGGACTTTGGGCCAGTCACTAACATAGGCCCACAAAAATGTGGCCATTACTTCATCTAATATTTTACTCATATGCTCAATTTCTTCTTCACATAATTTCACAGATCAAGATAAACAGATGTCTATTTCTTTAGAAAAAGATACAGCTATAAAAATACTGTTTGATGTGCAAAATGAGGGCAATGAGTTTTGGGCAGGTTTTGATAAACTACTTTACAGGCAAACTTAGTTTGAAAAAGTTCCATACAACATTTAGTTCAACAGAATGATCTAAAAATTCGTTAAAGCATTTGTGCATTTTATGATGGTTGACCCAATTTGCTTTTGCAATGCTTTATGCAGAGAGATTTTGACATGTTAGCCTTTTGTTCCATTTCTTCTTTATTTTTGACTGAACTTTTAAAGCTTTTGAGTCACAAACATCAGTTGATGTATGGTAACTCCGTAAGTTTCTCCTTAGTCAGTACCTTTGGAGTTCATGTAAATGTCTTGGCAGTATTATGCCTGGTTTATTGCCCAGCAATTACATTGCCTCTGCAGTATTCCCACTCCCATGACAACTGGATTTTTTCCTCTTACAGGAAGAGAAACTCCCTGAGGTGCCTTATTCCAGAATTCTGGCTCTGAATAAGCCTGAATTCTGCTATATTGTGGTTGGAGTCATTGCTGCTGCCATTGGAGGCTGTGTTAGTTCTGCATTTGCCTTTCTTGTTGGTAAAATCATTGGGGTAGGTTCATGCAAAATCTTTCTTTTCCACTATCCTGCCAAGCCTTTTTCTGTCCTTCTTAGTGTATTAGGGCTTCTCTATGTGAATCGGGCACTTTCCCAAGGTTTATGTAGGCTGTAGTATAGAGTGGAAGGCTTTGGTATAGAGTTGAATTGTTAAAATATACTAGGCTTCTGTAGCAAATAATGGCCCCATCTAGGAAAAAATCCAAGTGCCATTAAAATCCATTCAGTCCTCAGGTCACTGTATTATCAGAGGTGGCTATTTGTCCTTTCAATTTTGTAATATTTTATCTGTCAAAACAGCATAGAAAACCATTTATGTTAACACATACAAATATTTTAAACATATAAATTGATTTCCAAGTAGCTTTTCTCTAATTTACTATTTTTCAAACCCTGTAATAAGTTGCACATTGAATTTCTAGAAAGCCACTGGACTACATAAAGCTTCTGTTTTATGAAGCATAGGGAATTTGTGTAGACATTCTCACATAGCTTTTGATGTGGTGCTAGGAATACCAAGTAGTAACCAGCAATGTAGAAGCAATGTGGGTGGAAGAGACCATGCTCTCAGTGTGGTGCAGGGACATCTGGAGAATCAGGCAACCTCTGTGAGGGAGGTGAGAAAACAGTAGCATCAAAAGTGACTTACAGGTGGAAAGTTAGTGTGTGGCTCAGCTGAAATAAATAAAATGACTGTAAACAAGACATTATTTTAAGTACCTGTGAATCTGTGCTTTGCAACCTAGGTTTTTGAAGAACAAGATGTTGTAAAGAAAAGCCAAAATGCAACGATGTTTTCTCTATTTTTTCTTCTGCTGGGAGCAATCAGCTTAATAACATATATAGTCCAGGTAAGCAGTAGGATCACACCTACTTCAGCCTTCCCCTACCTTGCACTCTCCAGATGTTTCAGAGTATAACTCTATCATCCCCAGTCAGTAAGGTGAGTGGCTGTGGATAATGGGAGTTATCCAACACATCTGGAGGGTATCTGGTTCGGAAAAGCTGGCTACTTAATAGGGTTTGTCATGAAGGGGCATCTGAAAGAAGTGGAATTATAAAATTGGAGTACACCTTCCCTCAGGGGTAATATGTCAGTTTCTAAATTTCATCCCCCCAAAATGATGTAACTATGTTAATGGAGCACACCGAGGCTTTATTAATCCTTGTAACATCACATGATTAGTCAGGTTAATGATTGCAGGATCAGACTTATGGGCCACAGTATGTTCTGCAGGCAGAGATGGAAAGCTCCCAGAACAGTGCTGCAGGATCAGGACTGGTGCATAGCTAGCAGGGTAAGGAACCACAAGAAAGAGGCTGATACGGTGATACAGTAAGTATCAGCAGAATCTGGATGAGGGTAAGTTGCTGCAGGATTCGGGACATTTTCCCTGGAGCAACAAGATAAATATCTGCAGGATCAGGGAGAAGGCCTATGTAGTAGTTGTAGTGTAGCTGTACTAGAATGTTCTGGTACTGAGTAACTATGGAACCAAGCTAATCTTTTCTTCTACCCTTGCCTTTCTGCTTTCCATACTGACGCTGAATTGACTGGAAAATCTCACCTATCATCTTTGCTTTCTGCCTGCCTCTTCTTCCAACCCTTCTTAAGCTTCTTAATTCCTAGACTGAACTGGAGTTGCATGTTGTCCAAATAACATCTCTCCCTGCCTCCTGCCATGGGGTGGCTTCTTTGTGGTTGGTTGTAGGGTTTGTAGCCACCGCTATGCCAACTCAGGTGACACAACAAGCCCCCCAAAGCCACTTGGCTAGAGTGACGGGCAGGTATGGCCACATTCTAGGGGGAGTGTTTCTGACAGGCACACTAACATACCTGAGCAGCATGTGTGGCTTTCAGAGGTTTCCCGCAGCTGCTGCAGCCACCAGCCAGGTCTGGCAGTCATTGTAGTTCAAGGTGAGCTGTGCTCTCATCAGCCTCTAAAGAGATGTTATATAATCTGAAATGTTTATATAAAGGACAAGCTTGACTTTCCCATAGGACTTTGCAGTGGGTATATCTATTCTAAATAATTTAGAGCCTTTCAACTGTATGCCCCATACTTTAAATATGTGATGTGAGAGGAGGAGATGTGTGTCATCTCCTTCCCCAACAAAGTGATTAAAGAACATTTGGAACTTAGCTTGCCCGAACTCTCCTGCTCACAAATTATGACAATTTGGTGGCATACAACATCTTTGGTGTTCCCCTACACACACATGTCTTTCTGGAGGTTGTGTAGCATAGGATTTTCTTCTGTTTCTCTCTGGCCATTGCATAATTCATAGTTTTCAATTGATGCCTCCTTGATGCCTGAGCAAGAGACAAGCCCATAAGAAACTGCACTTGTAAATAATGTAACTGGTGTGCTTACAGAATCTAACAAGCCATGTTTTGCTGCTGTTACTTTGCACTGCCATCATTTGGGTTTGTTAAGTCTTCCCCAAGGTGAAGAAAGCTTCCCTCCAAATCCATCAGAGCCATTGCTGGATCTTTTCAAGGCTCAGTTAGAGATTTTGGCTTTGGTAATGCAGCTATGCTGTCTTCTGTCCAAATAGCATTGTTTGGGTTCATTTCTCTAAACCACTTATGAGCTGACAGAACAAGGGAGGGTGTCAAGGATGGATGGATCCACTTTCTAATCCTCATGTCTGTTTCACCAGGGATTTTCTAATTACTGACTTTGTGAAGAGGTATTTAAAAGTGAATTATAATAAAAGCAATGTCTACTCTTCTGTTTCTCTCTGTTACTTTTCCTGACTGCAGCAAGCAAGTAGAAAGTGAAAGATTCTGTGCTGGATTGAATTTGGTTTTGTTTGTACATTGATTTCTTTCTTCTTTCACTCAGTCCTTCTATTGGACTTCTCCTTCAGTGAAAAATATTTCTTTCTTTATTGTACTTTCTTAGTTCTTCTGAAAATATGTATTATTGAATGGATTAAAAATAACAAATAATTAAGTAAGCTAGTAATCCATTTCAAAAAAGGGGACTAAAATTTAAAACAAAGTCTGATGTAGGAACCAGAAACAAACCTGACTTAAAGAATTCACTGGGCTCAAGGAACCACAGAGAAATTAAGACATTAGAGTCAAAACCAGATAGATGAGGAATAAAGCCAGCACCTTATAAACTTCCTGAGATTGAAACAGAAGCACGACCATTAAATACAGAGGTGATGTCTGGCAGCAACCAGCAAAATAATAACTGAGAGATAAGACTAAGGAAGTAGAGCTGTATTCATTTAAGTATCCAGATTTTATATGTATGTATTTATATGTGTATTTATTTATGATGTTGGAAGCCATCCCAAGGCTTATGCGAATGGGATGGCATACAAAAATTCCAAATAAATAAAATAATAAAAAGTGTAGCATACAAATGCCTGTAGGGAAGTAACTGTATCCTTCAGAAATTACAAGTGTACCTAAAACTTGGATAGTGCCATAATTTGGGGAGTATGGGTGAAAAGGCAATGATCACCTTGTCTTGAAAGCTGATCTTCTTTCCAAACTCTACAAGCAATACTGGAATGTGGACCAGTAATGGTGTCCTTTCAGCACAAGGGGTCCTTTCAGCCCTTGAGGTCCTTTCAGCACAAGGGTCAAATTTAGTTTTGGAATAGCCCTTAGGGGGCACATTCCAGAGACAGACAGGGCAGAAGACAAAAGGAATAAGCCCTTTAGCTTTACCAAAATACCCTTTTAACTTAAGGCTCTCAGTGCCAATAACTAAGCCGTCGTAGAGGAATTTCAACTTTGCAATGGTAAAAGCCGTTCCAAGGGTGAGGGTCACCAAATGATCTGTGCCTGGGGAAAGGAGGTGGGGCTAAGGAAGGGGGCTCCCATCTGGGGAACTTAAGGATGATTGGATTTGTGCCTCTGGCCTAAGGTTCAGCACCCCCGAAATAGATCATAATGGTCTGTGCTATTCTTGTGTAACTAACCCTAACCCTAACTAATTGTCAGCCTTATGGAATCCTTCTCCAGTCTAAACTATGGAGGGCTATGTGAGTTGCCTTGGGCTCCTCACTATAGAAAAAAAGGTGGCATAGAAATGTAATAAACATACGGAATTGTACCAGAGCATGACGCATTATTTATAAGGATTTTGTATCACCTACTTCCTACAAGATATTATTATTTAAAATGTTATCACATTTTCCTGTAAGATAATATTAATGTATCTATCTTTATTTATTTCAGGGTTTCACATTTGCAAAGTCTGGGGATACACTGACTATGCGATTGAGATCACTTTCATTCAAAGCATTGCTTCAACAGGTAACAAGATGCAGCTGGTTTGAGCAGTATTTTTGGTGGAAGGGTGGAACATATAAAAGGGGGAACAAAAGTATACTTTTATGATGGATCTGAACTTTGGTCCATTGGCTTCGGCATTTGCCCCATACTACAACAGATCAAACTAGGGGAGGTTATGCAACAGCACACATGGTAAACAGTAACTTCTGTAATAATGTGTAAAACATTAGGCACAATTAATTTGAGACATACCAAGCTGGGCCATCAGTCTTTCAGGATCAGTGTTCTGTAGAATATAAAGATGGACCACAGCTCTCCAGGATGTTTCACAAAGGTCTCTTCCCAGCCCTACCTGAAGATGGCAAGACTTGAACCTGTGATCTTCTGTATGCAAAATCTGTGCATCCTAACTCTCTCAGCTTTTTCTGGGATTCTTAACATGAAGGACTTAATGTTGCAAGGGAGAACACTGCACGTCATGGCTTGATTTCTCCTAGGTTCCAATAGTTTCTAGTTGGAAGATGTTGGCAAGAGAGTTTGCAATCAAATTCCCAATCATTTCTTAGTTCTGCTTCCCACATGAAAATATCTTAATCATAGCGCTACAGAACAAGAGATATCATAATCTATGTTTCATTTGGCATAGTGAAAGCAAGCAGCAATCCAGCTTTGATGTTCCTCTGTGGTAGAACTAAACTTAATATGTCTTCCTCAAATATTATGGTCGTTTGTGGTAGGCAGTAAGCATTCTATCTTCTTAATAACCAGTTGGGCAAAGCATATAGGAAAAGGAGGCTTGATTTCATTGATGAGAATTAAAGCGGTGATCCTCCATCTTTAGCAAGCAGGGTGTCTTCACATTTCCAAACGAAGGAAAGTAGGTAGAATGCACTCTGCAAGGCAGGTTAAACCAATAATAGCACTTAGATCTACATCATACCTCTCCTGTCCTTCCATCTCTCTGGGGAAGTAACTGAACTGAGAAATCACTTTCAGGTAACAGTGATCCAGGTGAGGGAACAACTAAGTCCTCCTAATCTAGAGGGTCATTTAAGCATGGCTGCACTTTAAATTGATATTGACTTCATCAGGTCAGCAAGTTCACCCTCGTTGCTGAACAACCAACTAGAACAAATGTCTAATATTTTATCTATGGTAAAACCTCTCAAAAGATGGACATAAGCTTTGGCGATTAGTTTAATGAATAGCCAGCAAACTGAGTTTTGATGAGCCATTTGCAAGTGCAAAACTTACATGAACCATCTTTTTTGTTTTTAGGATATTGGATGGTTTGATGACCCTAAGAATGGCACTGGGATTCTGTTAACCAGACTTGCAACAGATGCTTCCCAAGTAAAAGGAGTATGTTCCAACTTATTGTTTGCTTGTTTCATTGCAATAACCTTTGCAGTATCTGTAACAAGAAGGTGTTGTACAATGCAGCCTAGTACATAGGAAAGTTGGAAACTACCAAAGATTTCAAATCACACAGGCAGTATCTTACTTTGAAGCTGCCATCACTGATTTGGCTTGTCATAAGCTGAGTTTTAAACCTAGTCATTTATTTGACTAGGTCATTTATAGAAGTATTTTTATGCTGCTTCTCCACCAAAAAAGCTCACTGAGAGACTTGCATATAATCAATAAAGAAGAGACTTCCATTCAGCAGATTTCACTCTAAGAAGGCACAACTCAAAAGGACAGAGAAAGGGAAGAGAGGGAACACATATTTCAGCAGGACTCTCATTTTCTTCTGCAGAGCCTGCTGAAATGGCTGCTGCTGGTAACAGTTGGAGAAGGAAGAGCATCTGCAGGGGTGGTCTTCATCAAGGCTCTCTCTCCAAGACATTGAGAAAAAGGAAAAATGGATTTGCACCATTACCTGCACTCTATTTCTAATACAAACACAAAGATCTGTAGCAGTAATTGCACAAGACACCCAGTAATCTGATGGCCCACCGTAGACAATGTCAGAAGGCTATAGGGTTGCCTCCTAAGCTGCTGAAATGGTGAACTAGTTATTCCATTTCATATTGTAACTTTGGAATGAACAGACCGCATTGCTTGTTTGTTTTAAAGGAATCCTTTAAGCCAGAAAAATGGAAACCCCAGATGTGTGTTTTGTGTTTGCTTTTTAAGGCTACTGGAAGTTGGCTGGCCTTATTGATCCTGACTACCTTCGCTGTAGGGTCGGCAGTAGTTGTTGCCCTTGCACATGGCTGGCAAGTGACGTTGCTCATCATGGCCTGTATGCCTGTCTTCGCTGGGTTGCAGGCCATTTGTGTCAAATTCCTGACTGGTTATGTAGCAAAGGATCAAAAAGCCCTTCATGAAGCTGGAAGAGTAAGTGCTTCTTACGTAAGATGCATGGCTGTGATTAGGTCAGATGTTCTTGATCTCCAGTTCCCATTGTGGCTGAAGGGCCAGGTTGATGGGAGTTGTCGTTCAGAAATGTTTGGAGGCACACAGTTCCCCATCCATGGATGGGGACACTATATCCAGCACTGCTCTTAAAACTGAATAAGGCACCAGTATTTATTATTGTAAGCTGTCCTGAGATGTTCTGTAGGGGATGGGATAGAAAGTCTTTTAATAAATAAATAAATAGATAGATAGATAAACTTCACCAGGAGCCTCTTGTGCATCGGCTATTTAGAGTGCTTTGTGCTGCCCTTCCCAGTGGATCCCAGGAAAATTTTCTGTAAAGCTGCATATGCTGAATTAAAATACAGAACACTAAAGTAAATGGATAAAAAAGCAGGTTAATAAAAAGCCATAGTGGGGCCACACAAGCTTCAAGTTGCACAGAAAACAAGATGCACTTACCCAGCCATTTTTGCATGTCTCAGGCTGCCAAATCAGATCAGGCAGTGAGCTTGGCTACCTACCAAAATAGCAGAAGGGTGCCAACGTTAGAGCCCACAGTGGAGGCAGGACTTTCTCCAAGGTACTCTGGATGTTACATTTTGGTTGGTATTGCAAGAATACTTCAGATATGAAACATTGCAGAAGTTTATCTAGGTAATTAACCCTGTGTTTACTATTCCACTTGCTCTCAGCTTCCATGAAAGAAAAAACACAGAGACAACAGGTGTATGTATGCAAGTGAGCAAAGGAAAGAGGATTGCAGAATGAGCACAGCATTGCTTTACCCTGCTTTGCACCTGCTCTCTCTCCTCTCTCCACTCTCCTCTTTCCCTCCCTTCAACAACATCTCTTTTGACCATGCAAAGCAGAATCAAGGAAACTAGCACAGTAATATCCTACTTTCTCTTATTCTGTGTTATGGTTTCTCCTCCCCCACTTACAATGAAATCAAAGGTTGGTGGGGAGATGTGCCCATGCCTGTAGGCGATTAAGGAACAGGCTGTGAGAGGTGGACTGGATGGAGTGCTATTGAAGTGGAGATGAAGCTTAGTGGAAGCCCACTTCGAAGGAGGCAAGCAGAAGCCACCCTTCACAGAACATGGAGAGGAGGAGAACCTTGTTAAGTTGGGGCATGAATGAGATGTAATAATATTATGATAAGGACCTCACAGGTGGCATGTAGCCTTTAGTAAATGAGCTTTCTTTTTTCTTGTCTTTTTGAGTCTCATATGCACCATATTTTGCTAATTTAGATTTCAACAGAAGCTATAGAAAATATAAGAACTGTAGCTGCATTGACAAGTGAAGATACCTTTTTTGAGAAATATAAGGCAAGCTTAGAAGTTCCATACAGGTAAAGTTTACACACAAATTGATTTATTTTTAGAACATGACACTCTTACACACAAACACGGGAAGGCATTTGCATAATAACTATTTACAATTCTGGAAATTTGGAATGATCCTGTGCAACACTGGGATATATCTTGTTCTGCTCCCCCACACAGGTCATATATGCTTATTGGACACCAGATAAGTGGTGAACACATATGTAGAGTCCCACAGCAACAGGCCTTACTTTATATCACATGCATAAATCAATAGAAAAAAACCTATGCACATCTGCTTAAAACTAGGGCTCATTGACACAGCTCATATGGTCAGTCCTTTCTTGCCCAGCCCTGGGGTTAAGTAGGACTTACTGGGCTCCACCAGTTATGTTGTATATATGTAGGTTTGTGCTACTTCCATGATATGTCCATTGTGTATGGATGAACCATCTTTCAAGATGGAAGGGTATAGAGAGATGAGATGGCAGGAGGGATACCACTGCCCCAAAAAGGTTTTGTGTTCATGTGGACAGGGCAATGATGCTGCTGGGCTTGACATGTATGCCTTACATGTCTCAGAACCACAGTTCCAGTATGAATCTGCCTGCATACTGAACTCATCATTTGAGGCCTTTCTCTGAGTGCTTCCCCAAAGGAGGTTTGGAGAATGACACTGAGGAAGAAGGTCTTCTCAGTTATAGCTCGCAGTTGTGAATGCTCTTCCTAGTGAGAGCTGCTTGGTGCCAGGATTTTTATCTTCTCAGTGCTCTTTTAAGACTGTTCTCTAATCCTTGGTTCTGATGCTACATGGTAGCGATTTTTATTTCAATTGTTTTATCCAGTCCCTATATTTTCATGTAACTGTTGTTTTTCTATTTTTTTATGTTAAAGCATGTTATATTTTTGTTTAGTAATTTTTGTGTTCCACTGCAAAAACATTGACTACTGGGTGGTATGCAAATGAAATCAACAAAATTAAATAACTAGAATTCAAATCCTTAGTGTATTTGTTTAGAATTAATGATAGAAGTCAAAGTTTTGAGCGATAGATACTCTGCCTGCTGTTCCTTTGCATATAATTATAAATTGTGATTCCTTTTCACTGGGATTATTTTTTTCCTAACAGAGACTCTCTGAAGAAAGCTCTACTTATCAGCACTTCTTATGCCATAGCTCAAGGTTCTAGCTTTTTTGTACATGCCATCATCTTCCGATTTGGAGCATGGGCCGTTTCCCATTGTTTCATTACCTCTGAACAACTTTTTATGTAAGTATATTTTATGAGTTCATGAAGTTGTATGCAAACTCCCTAGTTCAGAAGCAGAAGGCTGTTGAATAGCAGCTGCTGAGGAGCAAAATTTGTCCTTCCAAGTGTATCTGCCTAGTCATAGTAAGAAACAGAATGCTGGCCTAGATAGACCTTTGCTCTGATTGTATGTCTTTTGAACTCAGTATTTGCTGCCAGATCTGCAGCCCTTTAACCAACATCTGAGGAGCACATGGAAACCTGTACTTTGGCAAAAGGTGTTGTGCAATGTTCCTGTGGTTCTTCTAGTGTAGCCACATGCTCAGGTGATCCTGAAAGGGACAAAAAAGGGCATATATTTCTGGGACTTGCCCCTGTCTAACACATCATGTTCAATTCCCACTCCTAGCCAACATATCAGAATAGCAGAGACTGGGAGGTCCAATGTCAATGGAATGGTTTCTCCACTCTGGGTTTCAGGATGAACTTTAAATCTGTTCGTGGTGCTGCTCCCGGTCCCACAACATGTTCAGCACCATGGATAGTTCCTGGAAAGTTGAAACTGTGGTCTGGATTAGGTGAAGTGCCCCACTGTGACTGGAGACTCCAACCTCCACTGAGAATACATTTTCAGTTCTTGTTTACTGGATGTTGGCCTATTGCTGTAACTTGAGGGCTAAGAACAATATTTCACTTCATAACACTTGTGGAGTTCTTTGCAATTAGTGGGATTAATCCCAGGTAATCATTTGGAGTCTTATATACTTTTTTATTGATTTAAGTACTTGGGTAGCATGAAACTCTTTTTACAAATACATCTTCAGTAAAGGTTGCATGACAAATAATGGGCAGGTTAGCACAATACAACAATCCACCCTCTTCATGAAACATAGTGAAATGCTTTTTATGAAATGACCTGTGGTGTCCTGGACAGATGCTTGGGCTCACTGTGGAATCGCCCCTCTTCCACCTCCTTCCTTCCGTGATATCCAAGGGGACCCTGCAGCAGCTTTGTCTTCTGTCCTGTGCCTGCTACAACTGGAAACTTTTCACTAGCTGTGACTATTCTCCCCTGCTCTCCCCAGCCCCTAAATAATGAACAGCAATCTTGGAACAGACATCCAGTGACAGTCCCATGATGGGATTCATGCCTTCACCAAAACTCCTCTTCATGCCATACCCAGTAAGATCGTAACCATGTTTATAGGCCACCTTTGCCTCTCCTAATCTGCTGCCCTCTCCTTTTTCAACTGCTTTCACCTAAGGGCACCAGTACAATATGTTAAGTTAGAGTATATACTTTGGGTTCTAATACTACTCCCTGTTTTGTGCTTCCAGAGTTTTTGTTTTGATACTTTTTGCTAGTCTGGAGCTTTCTCGTGCTAACTCCCTTGCACCTGATTTTGGCAAATCAAAAATAGCTGCCCAAAGAATTTTTCAGCTTTTGGATCACAAGCCGCTTATTGACAGCTATAGCGAAAGGGGTGAAAAATTGGTAAGATTTTGCCAATTGTTCTTATCATGTTAGCTGATTTAATGCATTAAATTGACTTTTATTTTCACAGGTTCAGTATAAATGATTAACAATAGTGATGTTTGTTTTGATCCCTGTCAATCTAATCTGGAAAAAAATCTTACAGAAAACCTGACGAGTTATGCATCTTTAGAAAGGTTGAAAAGAATCACAACTGTCCTTGCTAGAAATTAAAATATTCTAAGCTCTTTCTTATCAAGGCTGTGAATTTTATGAGAAGAAAAAATTCCTTAAGTTGTGATTTTGGAATGATGTTTCACTTTAATATGTGAAAGCAAAACCAACATGGACAAATAGCAGATTCCAGCCAAAGTTAAACTTTTAAAAAGCTAAACTTTTACATTCTTACTGGGATAACCAACACATATCTAGTTGTTATTTTGGGGTGGCAACTTCTATTATCCCTGATGAAGGACTATACTGGCTAGATATGATGGGTGTTGGAGTTCAACTGCATATGCAGGGCTACCAATTCACCATGCCTGTATCAAGAATCCCCTTCCCTATTAACCATTGTGAAACTTATTTCTGAATAAGAATGCAGAGGATTTCTCTGCCAGTCTCCTTACTTTTAATGGAAAAGTTAAGTACATGTTTAAATGGAGTCCATCCCCGAGTCCTACATTGCTTCTTTTCAGCTGCATTGTCTCCAGTGTTTTACTATTTTAAAATGTTTGCTGTCCAGGTATACATAAAATGTAAAAAGAATAGATGGAACCAGCCATTTCTAAAAGCAGAGCAATCAGGAAAGTAAATGCAATATATATTGCCTTAGGGGGTGGACATAAACTTTAAAAATCATCTTTCTTTTAGAAAAATTTCATATTGCTCATCAGAAAAAGAATATGGGAGGTATCTTTTCAAATGGAATCAAATTCTTTGCTCTATACATGGTCAAAGTGCCATGTATACAGAAATCATTACAGACAAATTACATTACAGAAAAATCATTGTATATTTTAAATGATGCAAGGACTAGTGTCTTGTGCTCAGAATTATTTTTTGTTAAGAAAATCAAATGTGTAAATTCTTAGCAGTACATGCCTGAGTTAATTCTCTCCCCACTTACTCTCTACAGGAAAAATTTGAAGGGAACATTGAATTCAGGGATGTCCATTTTGTATATCCAGCCAGAGCAGAAGTTCAAGTTTTGCAAGGGCTCAGTATACAGGTTACCAAAGGGCAGACTCTGGCACTGGTGGGGAGCAGCGGCTGTGGCAAAAGCACCTCCATCCAGCTTCTGGAGCGGTTCTATGACCCGCGATCAGGACAAGTGGTGAGTCGGTGGTGACTCCTTCTGCATCTACGCTGGGAGTAAGCACTCCATCAGAAATGCTCCTTTTGCAATTGATTCCCAGTGCTGGCTCTAGTGAGTAGGAGTACTTTTCAATGTGAGTCACATATTTATTCCAAGTGGAATGGAGGCAGAGGAAACAGGGCAGTGATCCACATGAGCAAATGCCCAGGATGAGGGTTTTATGGGAAGGCTCTTTTGTTCCCAGTGCCATCCCTGTAATGTGTAGGATCTTTGCTTCAGGCATCTTTGTAGTTCCCTCCTTGCCTTTCTGCTTGCAGTTAGCAGATGGAGTTGACACCAAGTGTCTACACATCCAGTGGTTCAGATCCAGGCTGGGCCTTGTGCAACAGGAACCTGTTCTGTTTGACTGCAGCATTGCAGAGAATATCCAGTATGGAGACAACAGCAGGGTGGTCAGCCAGGAAGAAGTGGAAGCAGCCGCTAAAGCAGCAAATATTCACCAATTTATATTCAGTCTCCCAGAGGTAAAGACATCCTTACATTGTACTCCACTTTCTTTGGAGCATCTCTAATGAACAGGAGATACAAAATACATCAGTGTATGCAAAGATGCAGGTGGCGCAGTGGTTCAAACTGCTGTGCTGTTGGGCTGGTTGATTGAAAGGTCTCCGGTTCGAATCTGCACAACGGGGTGAGTTCCCGTTGCTCCGTCCCAGCTCCTGCCAACCTTGCAGTTCAAAAGTGTGCAAGTAGATAAAAAGGTACCACTTTGGTAAGAAGGTAACAGCATTCTGTGCACTTAGGTGTTTAGTCATGCCGGCCACATGACCATGGAGACTGTCTGCGGACAAACGCTGACTCCCTCTGCTAGGAAACAGAGATGAGCACCACCCCCTAGAGTCAGGCATGACTGGACTTTAATGTCAAGGGGAAACCTTTACCCTTACCTTTATGCAAAGGTGCAGAACTGTTCTGGGGAGGGCTGTCTCAACAGGATGGAGTGGGCAGCCATTAATTCTGCTTCTTGGAATACGCCTTACTGCCCTCCAACTGTGTCAATGGCAAAGCTGCATGCTCGTTGTGGAAGTCTACCAGCACGTGCCTGAAGACAAATCCATAGGCATTCAAGGCAGTGACAAATTTAACATTATTTAAGTATGTTGAAAAGCAAAATAACTTCATTGTTCACACTTCTTGTCTCCCCTTTGTATGCATGTCAAACTTCAGGTATCCAGATTCCATGGTCTGGATGCTATGGAGTAGACAGACAGACCTGTCCTCTTTTAATATCATAGTTTTGCAAAACTTTGAGACAATATAGTTTCTGCTTATGTTGGTTCTATGGTACTTAATTAGAGCAACATTTGCAAAGAGAATTGAATAAGCATGCATTTAATGGGAACTATATTTTGACAAAAATGTACAGTCACTGCCCAGTAGAAATAAATGCAGCAAATTTTCTGAGTCCAAACAGAAATATAGAAATATTGCTTGCAGTTTTGGCATTACCCAGTCACAATGTTTCTCCAGTTCCAGAAGATATTGGACTCTTCAGTAATCTATGTGTAATACTTAGATTATTACAGTAATCTTGTACAGTAATACTTTACCTCCGTACAACAAAGCTACAAATGACAGCTTAGAAATCATAGTTTCAAGGCCTTAGTCATTACACAAGGTAACAGGAAACCACCAGCATCCATCTGTTCTTTAACATTCATCTGTGCAGCTGGTCAAACTGCCTCTCTTCTACCTAGCTCCTTCCTGTGTGGGACCTCTACTTCTAAAGGACTGACTCACCCAGGTCACAGGGGTTATATGGGTTGTGTCATGATAAATGCAGCACACCCTGGCTTTATGATGAAATATTACATCCTGGCTTATTTAACAAACTATATGCAACCCTAAAATAGTCCATCAATTTTGGTGGTTTGTTAAACAGGCCAACAACCCAGCTCTGCTAGGTTCAGACATCACATCAAGCTGCATTTGTATCTTGAATATGCAGAAGCCACGCAGCACATGCCACAATCCACAGTGATTATGAAAACCTGATGAAAACCTGGCACATTGGAGCCACAAATATTACCTTGTAACAGGTTTCTCACAATATGCACGCAACTTGTATTCTTATTTTTTCTTTTCAAATACAGAAATACAATACTCGTGTAGGTGATAATGGAGTTCAGCTTTCAGGAGGACAGAAACAAAGAATAGCCATAGCTCGTGCCCTCGTCCGAAAACCAGAAATTCTGCTTCTGGATGAAGCCACATCAGCTCTTGACACGGAAAGTGAAAAGGTCAGTACATCCTTGCCATGCTACCTAGAAAACATGGAATAAATAGTTAACTGATTTTTAGAGAACCCAGCAGGGAAAATCCTTCCCTGTGCTAGCCATGTAAAGATGTTTGCCTTTTGCCTTTGGTTGCAGATTGTCCAGCAGGCCTTGGATGAAGCTAGAAAAGGTCGAACCTGCATTGTTATTGCTCACAGATTATCAACTATCCAGACTTCAGACATCATAGCAGTAATCTGCAATGGCAAAGTAATGGAACACGGAACTCACAACCAGCTGCTGACATTGAAGGGGTTCTATTACGCTCTTGTCAATGCACAAGTATCCCATTAAATGAGACTGTAAGATCTGTCCTATTCACAGAACTAGCTAAAGATTGTATGGAAAAGTCATGGTCAAGGTTCAAGAGCTGACAGTGTTCTTTCTACATGCCCAAGGAAGCTCTCCACCTCTGATTGTCAAAGAATAACACCTCTTGCAACTTCCTGTAACATGGCAAACAGTTTTTGAAACTGAAAGTATGAAAGGCAAGGGAATTTCCATTTAAAGGGATGAGGGATGGGAGAGCCATCATTAGGCATTGTGAAACATCAAGTACACTTGAAACAGTACTTTGGATTCTAGTCATTATTAAGGCTGGTCATGATGTGTTTCTAGAGACAATGTGCAGAGAAAACATGCCTCTTCATACACACTAATGGGGTTCACATGATCATCCTGGCTAGTTACGTCTTCTGTTTCAGCATGACTTCATTTTGTAGTCTTCTGACTCAAAAGACTGGTGCAGTTAGAATGCTGCACTACTGTCCAGGAAATCCAGGTTCTAATCACCATTCAGCTAAGAAGCTCGCTGAATGACTTTGGATTAGTCACTGACTCTCTGTGAAACCTACCTCACAGCTTTGTGATGATGATAAAATGGAGTGCAGAGGATCATGAAAGCTGTTTTAGGTTCCTTGAAAGAGGGAAAAGGGTGATATGTAAATGCAAGAACAAATACATTAAATGGAAAGTTCAATGTTTTCGTATTGTTTCCCTCAGATGAATCTGAATGTCATTCTCCAAATGGTATTTCTGCATCAGGGTAGGCAGATGATAGATTGACAGTTGTTTTGGACTTTCAATTCCCAGAAACCCCTGCTAGCATGAATAATGGTAAAGAACTGAAGTGTAAAATACATGGAGATCTACTTTGTACCCATTTGTATTCTACCCAAACAGTAGCTTTCATTCTTTTTATTCAATATTAACTTTTAAGAAGTAAGTCCAGTTGGCTCTTGAAACTTTGATTAATCTACAGGTCAGGTACTATCTGTATTACTATCTTGATATTGCATATTATAAGGAATTCAAAATGTTTCACAATTTAATATCCTATAAAATTACAAATGTTTAGTATAATAGAAAGACAATTTCAAAGTTGTTCAGTGAGCTTCGTTAACAAGAAAATTTCCACATTTTTGTAAAGTCAACTTTTTATCTGTCATATAAATATCTAGTTAACAGATGTACAGCTGAAAAACATTAAACATGTTTTGCTCAATGTTTATCCCCACCTTTCCCTTTACAGCATACATTTTAGGAAGTCAGTTAGAAACTAAATTGCTTGATCTGGTCATGCCGTTTAAACGTAATCCTTTTCATATAGGATTTGACATGCACATGATAGGCAAGTCAAGAGCAGAGCTGGCTGGAGCTGGGAGTCAGACTAGATGGCCCAGGAGGCTCCTTCTGACTTGCTCTATTTCTATGTTTCTATATGATCTTCCTGCCTTTCTGAAATTGGAAGGAAGAGATGACTGACTTACTGGCCTTGCCTTGAAATGGAGTCAGTACTGTTTTCTTAGACTGAGCTACTTTGCTACACCTTGGTTGGCATCCTGGCAGTATAAATTGCAGGCATAGGGACCTGATCCAGACTGAGACCACAGTTGGGTGGACAGGCAAGAAATTCCCCTACCACCCTTTGCATCCTAATCTGTAAAGTACAGACACATTCCATAACCAAAGGAATAAGAATTACACACAGGCACAATAAATTTTAACAAATAATTCCTCTGAAAATATTGGATTACTGGCAACATTCTTGCTTTAGAATGGGATGGACTGGGCATGACTTAACAGTGCCAGCAGCTCCTGCTGTAGAGTTTAATAGGGCATGAAAACTTTAATAACTTTGAACAACTACGCATAACTTCATGAAAGAAAGGCTTCATTCAACAAACCTGAACAAAATCAGGTGAACTAAAACTAAACCACATCAGTGGCTTTCACATGAATTTGAAGAAGATATTTTATACATATTTTTATAAATTTGAATAAAAAGAATAAACCTATCAATTTGCAGCACTTTAACTTCATGTACCTGTGGCAATCTTGATCAGGTTAGTTGAAATTTTGCATGGCTGTAGACTTCATCAGGTCATAAATGTATGAAAAGTTTCAACTTATTAATTCAACAGCTGTAAATTTTACAAGAATACAATTTTTAGGATTATAGCGAATTACTTTTATTTTATTAGCAATTTGCTTTAACTGATGTTCAGAATTTCATTGTACCTAACCTAGATTTTTTTAAAAAATACCAAATGAGGATTGTTATAGTAGATCTGGGGCAGGGAGAAAGAAAGAGAGAAGTTTGAAATGTATCTTAAAACTAGTTATTGTATGATTCAAGCAATGAAATCTGGAATTCATTGCATGACTGAAGGAATTATATGGAAAACATGGCTATGGAAAGTATGCAAGAGTTATGATCTCCAGGTACCCTGTCCTTCCCTGCTACAAACCATTACATTACAACTCTCCAACCATCACATTGTCACTGAGGCCAGCATTTTTGTGAATTTTAAGGCTATAATGATTGAAAAATGAATGTTTCCAAGGTGTATTTCCCCTACCATGCATAGTGGCTGTCCTTTTTCTTTCTCCTGCTCCTGCTCTTCCTCCTTGGAAAATTTACTTCCAGAACCTATTTGTACATTATCTTCATTCTCTAGTCCAGATGCAATAAACTGGGGCACTTAAGAGCATGTCGTAATGATAATTAGTCAGTTGCTTGGGTAATACATGGGCATACAGGTTCTACTGGTCTCATATATTCCAATCCCATGTAGTTAAGCCCTGCTGGGTTCAGTGGGATTTATTCCCAGATAAGCCTCTGCAGGTTGTACCCTTAGAGGTTTTGCAAGGTTCTAAAATAAAATAAGGTAAAGGATTAACTCTGCAAGATCCAAGCCATCATGACCACTCCATTCAGTGGGTATCAAAGGGGAGGCAGTGCAGTTGAAGAGTATACCACACCTTGGATCATGATCTTTTGCCAGCACCTTTACATGAGGGTCACCTGAAAAGGTAACATGACCCCTGCTATCAGTAGTGAGCTACCTGAGGTAGCTTACTAAATAAATCATAATGGACTGTAGCAACATTCAAACAAGAGATCTACCAATTCATTTGCACTTGATTTCTATTATGTTAAATAGTCTTGTGGGAGAGACTGAGCCCTGTTTATTGACCTTTCTTTGTATGGGAGCAGGCACTGGAACACTGTTGATGGTAATAATGTACAATCTGCCCTCTTCTGTCTGCCATCCTTTTTTCTGCCCTTACGGGGAGAAGAAGCACCAAAAACACAGGGCATTTGTGGGCTACCCATGATCAGCAAATGGCCTTCACACAACCTTCACAGGCTTTTCATGTGGCCCATGTGGATGCTCAAGTCACCATGACTGCTGTCATTCCATTCCATCTGCTACTAAATGTTACATTGGTTGTACAGGGCTAGTCCATTTCTGTTTGTTGCCTGAAGTGAAGTATAAAATGGTGGCTGCTCCCATTCCAGTTACAAATGTTGAAAGTGCTTTCCACAATGTTGATGGGACAGCATTCTCGCCAGCACCTGAAGGCCAAATACCAATTTACAGGGCATAAACAGGCCACATGGTACACAGATATTGTTTTCAACACCTTGATATTTCGCCTATCATCTGCCACTTTAGGTAATTGCCTCACTCTGCCTACTGGTACAACCAGTTCAAATGGGCAGGAAAGAGCAAGGTAAATGTTTTCCTTTTATACCTTTCACCCTGCATAGATCAAACAGCTGTTTGGCAGCCTGGCAAGAATGTGGTCTTTCCCTGCAAAGGTGGCAAGAGGCACGCTCTTCTCCCTCCAGTCCATAAAGGAAGAGCCTTTGAAAACAAGGTCCCTCTTTCAGACAACGAAGTAAAACTCAGCTTCCCCAGCATGCAAATGTTAAAATATATGCATTACACCAAGAATACAAATGTTACTGGAGGGGTATGTGTGTGTTTGTGTAATTCCTGATATTGTTTAAGGTATGTAGAACTAAGAAGAAAATGCTTCCATCTTTGCTAAAGTGGGTACTGAATCTTTACTGCTTTATTAAAGTATTGGTTTAATTATATGGGTTAGATTCTAGGGCACCATAATTATATGGGTTAGATTCTAGGGCACTTAGATTCAGGCAACACTAGAAAGTGGCCTAGAAACATTTACAGAAATAAATAAATGCATGGAAAAGATTATTATTATGTTTGTTTATTGTCCAACAATGTAAAAAGGTTGTTTAGGAATTAGGTCTGCAAAAATAGTTCCTAGAACCTTGGTCTCAGGGCTCAAAAGCAGCATTTGTGGTATAGAGACATTCTCAAGTTGAACAAGTTTGCCTGTGATTATGACATCTAATGTGTCCAAAGGATACACATGAAAAAACCCTTGATTTCAAAATGCCAATTTCATTAATGCTCCAAAACGATTCATTAATGTACTTTTTAATAATATCTTTCTCCTGCCCCATTTTACCTGTTATAATTGTAATGCTTTTGGTACTCTTGGGCAATTGCTGCAAATTTTTGGTGTCAAACTGGCAATTAAACAACAGTAATAACAAAATTACTGTACCTAGGCCACCTTACAGAACACTTGCAGTTGCTCATCTAGGGCAACAGAGCATAACTGCATTCCTTTTTAAAAGGTATTTTTATTCAGATTTGTAATTACATATTCAACAAATCAACATGGGTTACAGAAATTCACAACATTTACTAAAGATAGTAGTGAAACAGGAACAAGGACAGTTCCTAAGAAACAAGCTACAGCTACAAGAAATCACAGGTTTTGGGTTCAGCACAGCCTCAATCTGAATGGTTGAGAAAATCAGTTACAAAAAGTTTCATGTTCAGTGATGCATATTTTAAATAAGAATTTTTGCTTTCATAAGGTAAATTCAAAGTACCCAAACTGGAAATATAAAGATTTGGTTTGGACGTCACAAGAAGCCACTCTAGGGGATTTTCCTTACATCACTT